TACTCCGCCGAAATTATAGAGAGTGACTCATCGCTAGCTTTTGGACTAGTAAGGGGGATGAAGCGTGCCGGGAACGAAAATTCATTGGCGTGTCTACGTAAAAGGCAACAAGATATAGAAAATATTGAAAAAAGATAATAAAACATAACATCTAATATTTTTTACGGTTTGCTATAACCGGCACTTTGATCCATTTTAATTATTACAGGATTTTAAAACGTACCAGTTGTATTTTTTTAATTTATAAATTTATTATAGCCAATAGCCATCATGGAATTAGACCCCTCGTCTACGCTTATGCTATGACGTTTCTCAGGACGGGTAAATCAAGTCCGTTTACACCCACTAAAAAAGCATTTCCCTATTCCCTACCAAGTGCAAAAGACAGATATAGAATAGACGTTCAGTGTAACTCAGTCTATAGACGATTATAAATTCTATTGATGTGCTTAACGAGCGGCACAAAGATAAATAATATTGAACCGTATAAAAATCATTTTATATTTTATACGCATTATGGTAAGTGTTTTTATATTATGTCTGAGTCACTCTCTATAATTTCTACCGCGGAGTATAAATAATAACGGAATATTAAATAAATTATTTATTTTTAAACAAGAACATGGGTACATATTAGTGATTAAATGAAATATTGTGCCAACATCACCTCATTTTTTACTCATATACGAAGAAATTTTTTATTCTATCTAGAAAATTCTACTATGCATAATCCATTTCTTCAAAACTAAACCGCACTGATTAATATGAAATTATATATTTTAAAATAAAATAGATCTGTCAGAAATGCTGAAAATAATGGTTAAATTCGTAATTAACTAAACTAACACGTTGCTAAAATACAATAAGTTTAAGCTTGGTAAATACCGCATAATACTACATTTGTACTTGCCCTTACACAATTTCTATATCTTATTATGAGTAACAAATGGTCGTTATTTTATTCTGTTCAAGATAAAATTTCTATTTCTATGACTTGGTCATCACATTCAAATAAGATTTACTAATTTTCAGACCTAGTTAGTTAGAAAAGAATAAAATAGTTAGACATTAACGCCTGTCTTTTTTTGGAAAAAGCATTTTACTTTCTAGATTTTAGGACAGTTCATGTAGATATGAAATCAGTGACAGCCACGAAAATTACAAGTGGTCATCATATTTTGATATAATGACATGGAACCCATACTGTTTTTTAGGACATGATTTCTACATAGACCCACACTTTCGTGATGAAGAAATTCCGAAAGCAATATTTGCGAAATAAAAAGGGGTGGCGAACCCTATAAAATATCGGAAGGGATTGCACATAGGTACAAAATACTATTTTCTTCATCAACTGATAAATACAAACAGATGCTTTCTTATTTTTCACAAAATTTTCATTCTTCTTAAATTAGAATTTAAATATCTATGAGAATTTAAATATCTATGAGAAAAAATATAATTTTGCAAAAAATCAAAGAATGTCTGTATCAGTTGATTAGGATAAAACATATTTTGAAAACCATTTTCGCGATCTCAGGGTCCCCTATTTTAATTGTATATTTTCCGAAGGACCCCGCACAAATCTAATAGGAAATAGCTCCCGGTTAAATTGGCTAAATTTTTTTTGTCACGTATCTCGGCATCCTGAACAAATGTCTTCATGAGCGCAAAGTCCAAAGCTCCACTGGTTCCTAGATAAACCCACCTAACACCTAGAAACTACCCCTACCAAACCACAAGTAGATCCTGGGAACAGCGAGTTTAGTCGCTTATTTTTCTTGAAATAATTAAATTCCATACCACAAGCATGCTAACCCGCCTACCCTCTATCCCATCTAACTCCTAGAAACCACCCCCGCCAAACCACAATCAGGCTAACGCACCTGACCCTGGGAACAGCGAGTTTAATCGCTTATTTTTCTCGAAATAATTAAATTCCACCCTACAAGCGGGTTAACCCGCCTACCCCCTAACCCACCTAATCCCTAGAAACCACCCCTGCCAAACCACAATCAGGCTAACCCACGTAACGCTGGGAACAGCGAATTTAGTCGCTTACTTTTCTTGAAATAATTAAATTCCGCACCACAAGCGGGTTAACCCGCCTACCCCCTAACCCAACTAATCCCTAGAAACCCAACCAAACCACAATCAGGCTAAACCACGTAACACGTAATCCTGGGAACAGCGAGTTTAGTCGCCACTTCCCATAAGGTTTCTTCGGAGTCCTTTCATTCTAAATATTTTTTGTCACGAAAATTCTATATGTGGGCCAAGAAATCATCCCTCAAAAAATATACTATGTATATATATATTTATGTAAATGCAGTTTATTGCATCTTTAACTATGTTTATATTTAAATACCCATTAATACGAAAAATATGTTTCTTTCTCACTTATTAATATTATTCATTACTAAATTGAGTGAATTAGGATTTATGAATAAATTACACAAATAGATAGTTAATAATTTTGTGGTATTAAATGAATGAGGTTTCTCATGAACTAATATTTATTAGGCATATATTTCAAAGAATATTATCACATTATTACTGCGGATATTATCATATTACTATTTCTTTCATATCGTGCAATTGTTAACAGTTTGGGATATGTGGTTTTAAACAGAACATCGGAAAACGAATATAGCTATACCGTATTCGTGACGATAGTTTTTAGTAATTAGTCGACCTAATCTTATATTTCAATGAATCAGAACTGCTTACAGTATAACAAAGGGCATGAATCTAACTGTAAGCGATTTGCTGACATGGTAGAGATGTTTTAAAATCTTATGAGCTTTGACCTTCATATGCGCAGAAACATAATTCCGACCGTCGCCTCAATTATTCTACGTCCTAAAAACATTCCACCTATTATTCACAGTCTCTCTCGAGCTCTAGCGTAAACAAGCCTTTGATCTGATTACAAATATCATAATAAAATGCCCTATTCTTTATTATTTTAATTTAAACAATAGAAATATATATAACGAACGTTCGCCAGTTGACTTTATTGATGCCCGAGCGCCTTAGTTCATTTCTACTTGTAATGATGCACATGGTCTAGTTCTGAGTCAATGTTTTCACAACATGCTTATTAAAAGAATTATGGGGATACGCCACGCCTTTCGCGCATTTCGCGGCTCATGAGATATTAAAAGACCTCTAACACCTACTAAGTAAGCACCTATCTGCTATCCTCTCCCAGCAAATCACTTGCAGTGTAAACATGGCCTAAGAAAAACTCTGGATTAGATCGCGTTCAGTACACTGAACTCATACTATTCGCTGACTGATTGACTGCACTCAGAAAATCACAATTCGATGAGCAACCGTGTGCTGAACACACCCTGAGGATAAGTAATAGAAGGATGTTTAATCATTGCCATTTTTTTCATCTTTTCTATATTCGATTAATAAGCGCAATTGCACAACTACTTGCATTGAACTATAAAGTTTATTGGTAAAATATATTATCTGTCTACTGTGTTATTCTTGTAGGTAACTAAAATCTAGTTTGAAATGGGAAATATTCATGTAAAAGTCTGTAGAAAGTCTAGGAATAATGTAACCAACACATTTGAACAAACAATACTAGACTAGAAGTAGGAAGATTGTGCATCATGGGCGTAGCTAGGGGGGGCAGAGTTGTGCACGGTCCACCCCAGAAGCCCCCGTGCCCACCCCAGAAAAAAAGAGATCAAATATTGTTATCTTTCTCATTTTGTTAAGTCGCTGACCTCATCACCGTTTTTTTTTTAGAATCAAACGAAAGAGTGTTTAGGTTTTAACATTTTATATCGGTAAGTCACTGATTGCGTGGGTTTTTCATAGCTACGCCCATGTGTGTTTCAGAAAAGCTCATCATTCACATGTGACCGATGAATAAACAATAACTTATCGATTTTGTCTGTTGAATGTAGCTATTGTGTCTAAACAGTATAATTTTATTAGCCATAAGCAGGCCCTTCTTTTCCATTGGCCACTTTGGGCACGTTTCCAGGGCCTCGCGATTGATGGGGCTCTAACCTCTGCGTATACCGAATGCTAAAACAGTTAATTTTCCGGATTATACTACGTAATTACTTATTCATGATTATATTATAATTACATATTTATTTAATGTGACTGTAAAGAAATAAAAATAACTGTTGAATAAATCTGGAATTTTGATTATCCACTCCTTTTGACTGTAATATAGTCCTCTGTCATATGGGCACCATTAACCCAGGGCTACCAATGGGTTAAAGACGGCCCTGGCCATAAGTCATCGCTTAAGTACTTGTCAATAAGAGCCATTCTATGTACATAGCAAAGAATTTTTATGAGCAGTAATTACAAAAAATCTCAAAATGTAACTTTTGCATTTGGGTTTTTGTAAGGAAAAGAACAAGTGGAATAAGATATCATTATCAACTTCAAAGAAAAATTAAGTTAAATTACGAGTAACGCTTAAATAACAGGTTGAACAAAAATACCATTCAGCATTCAGCACATGATCAAATACAAAATTGATACCTAATCGTTCAAATTTGCCTAAATACCAACATTTTAGTGACATCGCACATTTAGAGTTTGTATACGACGCCACTGCGCAGTATGAATAATCAAAGAAACGGTCCTGGATGTAATGCGTCGCCTCATCGCCTCTTACGTTGATATATTGATAATTTAAATATTTTAGCTAAAAACAATTGTGCGAATAATTATTAATAAGCATAGTAATTTTTTTTTAATTACAAAGTTATATAAAATTATTTATTTAATAAATTCAGAGATGCAATTAAATAAATAAAGTCCTGACATGGGCCCTGATGAAGCTGTATCATTTATTTTTTCCAACAGTATACTTAGAATTAGACGAGACGTTGTAGGAACATACGAGGTAAACGTCGAACGAGAGAGGCATCATTTACATACGTAAAGAAAAATAAAGGTGGGACACTACGTAACTCGGCAAAATAGATTCTTGTACGCCGCCGTTTCCGTCAGCGACTTGCGTTAGCAGTTTCGTATTTGTGTTAGATGTGAGTACGGTGTCAGCTGTTTTATAAACTAAATGGGCGTATTTAGAACAAAACAGGGATGTACAATCACCATATAATAATCAGGTAAGTAAATAAATTGCTAGCTGTAGATGTTTGTGTTGAAATACCTAACGCGGCTCATCCGAAATCTTCTTATAGACTAATCGATTTCGTGCTTCCATTTTTACGTTGTATGTTCATTTTGTTTTCTATTTATTAAACCATTTATATTTATTTGCCCATACCCCTTGCGTTTTTTGCAGAGGCAAACCTTTCTCTATAAAAAAATCAATCTTCGTTCCTTCCTATTGTATCCGTCTAATTTATTATTTTATGTAAATGAGTGTTGCTGCAAAAACAACAAATAGAAATTTTTACTCCTACAACTCGTCTTAAAACTTGTTCTAACAAATTAGTTTTTATAAGGCGCCTCGTATTTAAAAAGTGAAATTAACTTACAAGCTAGCCTCACTGCTATTATTTATAAATTCATTTAAATGTTTTAAGTACCTACTTATATAAATTGAAAACATTGGTGAATCATCGAGTTGCAATAAATTGCAACATTTTTGGCTTACTATTTATGTTATTGATGTCATTAGCATAAACAATAGGTACATAGGTTTCATATTAGAAAATATTTTTGTTTAATAAATTATAAATATTTTTTATGATTGATGAGATTACAAATTTATTTGTAAACTTTAAGTTTGGAAAGCTACAAAACTTCTCACAATTTTTCTTTAAATTTATTGAATTCTGCTCAAATATATAGAGTAAATTTAAATTTGAAACTACCTAAGATGAATTATACACTTTTGAACCTGATCACGCATTGATCTTATTTTTAATTTTTTTATGTCATATACAGTGTCATCAATAAAATCTGCATCAGATGTGTATAAATTCATGCATAAGTGAAATTACATCTTGTATATTTTATCGTATTGTTATTAAAATAACGTTGTTGAAAAAAATAAGTGATTATCTGGATTATATATGGTTGGCAAACTTTACAGATGGGTCAATACGAGTAGGTACCTATATATACCCTTTCTATGTATATGTACATTCAAAAACGTGGAATAATTAATAGTAATTTTTTTTATATTACGGCAGCAGATAAACAAACATTTTATTTTATTTAAATTTTGATAATAAACTGCAATTTACAAAACTATAGAATTAATTCTTCGATCAAGGTGCTGTATTAAGGGTTAATGGGCAGCTAATAAAACTAGGAAAAAAAATGTAACTCCGTGTATTCCGAGTTTTTAGAGAAATATGTATTAATTAACATAATAATATATCGTATTTGCTAACAAAAAGTTTCAATCATTTGTACCTACTGGGAAATTGATAATTTAAAATAATAATTATCGCTAGAACACACATTTTGTGTAAAAAAGTACAAATTTTTAAGTTCTTGTCTTAAATATGTAGATGAAAAGTGTTCGTAGGTCTGTCGTTTATGATACTGATTCATGTATTCCAGAAACAAAGTGCTCAAAAATAAATCATTTTATATGTCGATCATAATAGCTTTCCTTCAAATACATTATAGGTACCTATTTCTGACGATTGAATCCTTATCCTTAGATTATTAAGTAAATCGATTAACTTCAGTTCAATTTTAAGTGACAGTTATTTTACAGGGTATTTCTAAAAATTTTTGGTAATGTTCAGTTGATTTTTCTAAAAGAAAAAAAAAAACTATTATTTTACCGAAAATGCTGTCGAAGGTTCTTTTAAATGACACCTTCAATTACCCTATATTTAAAACTTTTACCAAGTTTCATCTAGATCTTAAATCTGATTAGACAAAAGTGTGTTTACGACAGTGCACTTTTATCACCTTGTAACTTTCTACCAAACGTTTTCGGACTCGTGTTGCAGTAAATTCTAACTCGTCTTTCATCTTTTTACTTAAATTCCAATTTCAGTTTGGCACAGTAGGTACCTATCGAAAAATAATATTGCAAGACACGATCATATATCTACACAAAGTTTTAGATGTAAAATTATTGTTACCTACATAATGTACATTATTTGTACCAATTTTGTATACAATAGTATTTTTGTCTTGGAATTTATAAAATTTGTTATCTGAACTAACAATTTTTTAGTAAATAATTTATCAACAGTTTATTGCGCACATTTTTTTGTTGTGGTATGGATTTACGAAAATTAACTCGTAGTGATACAGCCACCTATCTCTCTAAAACTATAAAAATTACAATGATAAAGATCTCTGAGCACCCGGAGTGAATTTTCGTAAGCTCCTGGTATGAGAGTCAACAACTTGCTGATAAGAATTGATATTGATTCTTAAACTTTATACTAAATCTAATTCATGTTTTTAAATGTGGAATATTAATATTATATTATAACTTTTGTAAAATAGCAACAGTATTAATTAAAAATAATTAAGTCATGAAAGTAGACTATGAGAAAATACGAAGAGAAAAAGGACGAAAAAAATGAATTAGTGAAGAATCCGTAGAAATATTAATATTTTTTGCAATGAATTAAGTGGTAAACTGTAAAGATACAATAGGTGTACCTACATTTTTCTAAATAGTGAATAGTTGTTATTACTCAAGTTACAAGTAGTTTAGTAGTGAAACATAAAGTTGAATAAAAAATTTGAATTTTACAAACTTCAAATATATAGCATAGTAACTACCTTTTTTTTAATCAATTATTGAAACATTGAAAGAAAAATACCTACATATTCAGACATCCATTAACTTTCCGTTTGGAGTGTCAACGATGCTTAGTAGTACAAGAAGATTTTGAGATTTTGAATGAATTGCGCGTTAAAATGTCTATTTTCTGTATAAAAAAAATATACCATATTTTGCAGAAAAAAAAATAGCATTGAAATACAATTATGTTCATATACATAACAGAGAAAAATATAAAAATTTACAGAAAATTGGTTTAATTCAAAATAAAAAAACAACGTAAATTTTATACAATTCACTGCTACTTTTTGCATTTCTTTTATGATAACATAACGCCACTATAAGATATCTACGCCACTGACTGGAAAAGGGTGGTATTTTATGATGGTACTGATAGCTTACCTAAGGATACCATGGTTGAGTTTCTATATATTTTTGTTAGCTTCGGACAAATTTTACAAATTATTTTCTTTTCATAACTTTGATAATTTTTTAAAGCTCTTTCTATTCTGTAAGTTTATTTATTCAATATTAAATCACCTTGTATTATAATATTAGTTACGTAGCTTACACTTATAGTTATTAATGTAGGTATATAACAAAGCCGAAGCCGTGCAAAATATTGATAAATATAATGTTGGAAAGAAAGGTACAGTTACAATTATTGAATTAGCGTTAATAATGGATAATGTAAATAAACAATAGACCGCATTAGTTGTGACGCTACAATAATAAAGGGAAATCTGATTTAGAAGTCGTGAATTAACATTTTATGATCGTTATGTACAGGACGGGCACACGAAAATTGGCCCCTTTTTACCTCTGTTATACAAGACTGTTTAAAAGAATACTGAATGATACAGAACCGTTAATAAAGAACATAAAATAACTAGGTAAATAATGTTGAAATTTTCAATTTGAACATAGGTCAGTTTCAATTTCTTAATTGTTTTGGAGAGAAAAGATACATCCGAGTAGTGTAATCTGAAGAATGCAATTTGTAAAGAAGTTTGCATCGCTGTCACAATCGAGAAAACATTTCAGTTTAATTTTTTGATTTTCAAATGTTCAAATTACGAAGCACTACTAAGCAAGCATACATTCTTTGGCTAACAATTTCAGAAGTTATCTTTGATTTTTGACGCTAGTTCTAATAGCGCTCCAGCAAACTACATGACAGTTCTTTTTCTCATGCATGCTGTCTGGTATATTCAAGTTCCCATGTAATTCAGACTAGTGTTCCACACATGTATGTACATTCTTACTTCCTCAATTAAAAAATAGTTCTTATTTCAATTTTTTAATTATAACCACTAAACACCACTGTTGTCGAGCACAAAACGTACTTAAGGCTTTATTGTGTTACTTACGTTAATATATAAATTACTTCAAATAATAGGAATGAGTCTGGAAGAGAACGAGAAGAGAACGACACTAATGTAACTTTAACTTTTATATGTATTTGTGTGTAATAAGATTGTATTTACGTGAGTGGCATTAGTTGTAACTCGAAATTCTTAATGTGTAAATTATTCACATTCTTTGTAATTCGTCTTTTCTCAGAATTATAAGGTGAAAATTGATGAAGCTTGTTACATATACCATCCCAGTGTTAATGTAAAAACATGATGTATTATCGCTGTTTTTCCGAATCGCAAAAAAAATCGATATTATTTCATTATTTGTTTATGGTATCTTGGATTATTGATGTTTTCAACGCATTTTACGACTAGTGTGGTGTGATATCAATAAATTAAAAAATTAAATAAAATCTGTGTAAAAACACTGTTGTCGAAACACTACAAACGACGTATTTTTTCATGTGATTATTAAAATTTTATTATTTTATTTTTACATACATTTTATATTTATGACTTATGACAAATAATAATATCAACTAGTCTAATATAATACCTACATATTTAATGAAATAGAGAAAAAGAGAAAAAAAAAAGAAAAAAATTAATAGAAAATATAACACAACTTGTCGAAAGGAGCGTTTTCCTCGCCCAAATATAAGAAAATTTTCATTTTAAATACATATATTTTATTATTAGCTCTCATATCTTTTTACTCTTTATGAAAGTAGGTATTAAGCTAATTGAAACAAATCCCGTCAAATGAAGTCAAACAGTACTGACTACACAGTTAGTAAAAAATAGTTATTTAAAATAAAATAAAATATTTAAATAATTAATAGAAAAACATACCTGATATATTTACATTCTCAAATAATGAGAAACACCCCATATTCTTGCTTTCATCTTTGACAAAATTTAATCACGTAAAAAACAGCTGCTACAAAGAGATCTTTTTAAATGTTAACCCCCCGTGCTTCAAAAAAACGGGTTTTATATAAGAAAATTGTCATAAAATTCGAAGATTTTCTTCTTCTCAGATTACGGTACAGAAAAACGATACTTAAGGCAAGTTAAATTAATAAATCTATCCCACGTCTGAAGCGCTGCACTCATGCCTCAAGAGTGCCAGAGCTACTTAAAACTGGCAAAAATATAAAAGAGGGAACAAAAGAGGCCTTCACAAAAATTGAGAGTAAAAAAATTTAAAAAGATCTTGGACAAAAAATGGGGATTTGCAGTCTGTGAAAGTAAAAGGTATCTGGCCACCCTACAGGGCCACCCTAACATTCTGTAATAATGTCTACTTCATGCACTGTATCAGTTTTTTTTGTAGTCAGATCATTTATAATTCCCATTTGGTCAAAATAGACGTGAATTTTTGATTTCTCATGTTCTTATAGATTTTGCGCAAAATATATCTATACGTGTCATTATAGCAATAGGCAATCTCTTACAACCGTTCTTTCTACTTGAGGAGTGGGAGGTATTTTACAAATGATAAATGTAATACTTTTTTATATTCCTCAACGGTATATAAAAAAGGAAAACTTGACATAAAAAAATTGAATCGATTTTATTTTACAGTAAATAAACAGTCGGCACGCCATAACAATTTTTGCGATACTTCAGGGTCTAGGTAATATAGCGGCAAATAGGTTAATAACATGTATATCTAAATCATAAAACAAAAAATGGGAACTAATTGCTGTAAAGGTAAATACTAATCAAGTGAAACAGATTTATTAGTTCTGGGAATTTAGATTTTTCTTGTATCCCGTATTTTGCTTGTAGTTAAATTAATTGTTCACAAGAAGTTGACTACAATAAAAAGAAATTAAATAGACTACCTGCCTACTAAATTTTGACATGCACTGGACATTTGATACGTTTTTTTTTATTTGCGATAAATAAAAATACCTCTAAAAAAATAATCAGCTATCGAAGAAAAGCTAAAATTCTAATTTCTTCGTCGGTGTAGGATTAAGCAATAATAGAAATTATTATATGTACAGGGCGTCACGATTTATATGCGTATAGGTTTATTAAATATGACCTAGAAACATACTTATTTGGAAACTGCAATTACATCAAAATTGTAATTATGATTTGAGGTGATAATTTATGAAAAATTATATTAACATTTTTTTATTCGAAATCTAAAAACACAGTGTTATTCTACATAACTGAAAATGCCTTTCCACCAATTTCTATAATGTATTCAATTTGAAATTTCTATATAAAATTTAAAAATGTATCATATATTTTTAATTATTTCAATGAATTTATGTTGTATTTATAGTGCGTATATTTATTACTTTCTAAATAAAAAAAAATGTAATGTGTACTTTTGTACTATCAATTTCTTGTAAAATTAATCTTTGATAAAAAAAAATAGCAGGATGGCAAGGAGTGTAGAATAACGTGTCTGTTTCGAATAAAACATGCTGATGCAATTTTTATAAAATTAGCACCTTAAAAGATCGTAGCAGCCTATGGTTTGTAATTTTGAAAAAATCCTAATGTCTAAATACACATGTCCTTATGTCCTTGGAGGATATTAAACAAAAAATATTTAAATTTTACTTGTTTTTTCCTTATATGTACAAATTGCCTATAGTATATCTTAACGTGAAACAGTGGCGTAAACAGATAAGGGAGAGGACAAGTGTTTCACGCCTCGTCAGTTGTTACACGTTACAATTAAGTCAGTCGAAAATGTAACCTAAAATCTGACATTTTAATTAGCCCCTGCATTTTTTTGGCATATGTACGCCACTGACTGGATATATATGAAAAGTATTTGTTCGGATGATATGTATTTATGTCCTAAGGAACTCGAAATATGTGAGAATGTTTATCATTTTGTTTCAAAAGAACTTCGGATTTTAATATTTTGAGCTTCTATCGCCAAGAATATTTTAAAGCCGCACATGAACAACAAAATTAAGTAAGTATTATGCTATAATATTAAAATAATACTTTTAAATATGTGTGCTCGATTTTCTTTATTACAACGTGCAACGCCTAAATCCAACTATCGACAAAATTTGATGGCTCGCAATATAAAAAATTTTAAGAATAAAGCAAGAGTTAAATTTTGAAGCGGTAGTCGGTGTTATAATCTCATCAGAACATATGTACTTATTTATTTCAGCTGCTTCAGAAAGAGCAACCAGTTTTCGACGTTTGTCGTTTGTCCATAGTGTTTATTTTAAGATCAAATTATAGTGGATACAGTAATCTAACATTAAATCTATATACTGCAGTCGCGAGTGCATATTTGCATACAAAAAATGTCGTTTAAAAAATAGCAACACCAACACACTGTCTGTAAATACATAAAGTATATTCCTCATTCAACTTTTAAAATGAAAATATTCATGTTTCTCTTTAGTTTTAATATTTGTGAACATAAAGATACTGAAAAAATTGTGCTCAACATATGAATAAAATGGCAATCAACATGAAATTAAGCTTGAACTTTAGTGGCGATAATGGGGACATGGGCGTCGATAAAAAATTTGCCCGAGGGTGACAAAAGTATATATGGACCGTAAAAATTAATAAAATCATACCATTGTGAATTGGACAAACGTTTATGCATTTTAAAGAATGTGTTCATAAGTTTTTGACATGTATAACCAGTGTAGATTTCTCATATTGTATCATACTGATTTAATAAAAAAAATTGTCAATTTCTCAATGATGAAAGAAGTAGATAGCAAAAATTCGGAATTTCCTAGAAATTCATAAATTGAAAAGTAAAAAAAATTATCTTACTTATCTTATCTTTAAAATATTAGAAGGAAATTATAACTGAAATTAAAACTACTTTTATATTTGTGAAGATTAAACTAATACATTTCTTTTTATTTATGATTTATTAAGAGTACACTAACAGTTATTAAATAAACAAGCACATAATATGGATTTCTATAAATGAATAATTTGACAATATTACACTGTTCTACCAATAAAATTGTAAAATTGATTCCCTGATCACAAATAAGAAGAAAAGTTTGTATGAATTTCATTTCTTGAAATACAAGATTTTTTTTAGTTCTTTTCGTGTTTTATACATTTTTAAGGTAACCCATTCAAATTCAATATATCAGACATTTTTGAGGATCGACAGAAAATTACGCTTAAAATAATTTACAGGGTAACACTTTTTGCAGTTCCTCCAATTTTCTGTGTTGACACTTACTCTCTTTTGAGAAAAAATAATTTATCTCTTTTATCCTATATCTTTTTGATCGTCTTTCTCAATTGCTTGGATGGTATTCATCAAAACATGACTTAAACTGAACATTTTGTGGGCTTTAAATAAATTTATAATAATATGGTGACCACTTTAACAGTTCATTGATTCATCTACCATCTGAAACAAATGAGAGCAGAAAAAATAAATAAAACTATTATCCTGTATCTCAACAATGAAACATTTTTTCTTATGTTTGATCAAGCCTTGTATTTTTTGAGAAAATAAACAATTTTTTGTGTACTAGAAAAAAGTTTAAAAGATTTATGTGAAATATTTCTAGGTGCAAATAAGCCCTGGACATGAATATTATGAGGAAATTAAGAGGTGGGGTTGCTAATGCATCCTCCGCCTCTTCTTCCGATTTCTCTGACACAGCCCCTTCATCGCCACATACTCAGCTAGGTTTAATGCATCTGAAAAAACTCTTTTCGGAATACACTCATCCACCTCACCCCTTAACTGATCAAGAGAGGGATGACAAATTATACAACATGCTTCCTCTTTTCTGTAAAGTAAGTATTTTGAAACTCATTTTTAAAATAAACACCAGTAGATGAATAGGTAACGAAATTTCCTAGTATTTGCAAGAACATTATTTTATTAGACTATAAATTAAGAACTAGTTTCAAGACGATAATATAAAATTACGTAGAAAAAGCTGTACAAGTAGATGATATCACTGGTTTAAATTAGAATGTCAAATTTGCAACATTTTAATTTGATCCTGACATAATGCCTATTAAAATCAATAATCATACTCTATATTTTGAAACAGTGTCAAGATGTTATCAAAATGGAATTTTCTCAGATAATAGTAATAATCCTTTTATTATATGCATGTACACATACACTCCATACAATATTTGGTGAGATAAAATTCTAAGTAAAGGATAAGCCAATAAAGTCCTGTTATCGGAATTACTGTAACAACTTACCGCGGCAGAGGCGTGCCTTGAAATTTTCCACCAATTTTCTACCTTGGGCGTTGAATGCGGTTAATTCCAAGAAAGCGACACAGGGGTCTTCTTAGAAATCTGTCAACAAATATCGTACGGATTGTATTTAAAGTATATTTTGCATTCATAACATATGTACAAACAGACACAATACTCTGATACTGCATTTAATGCAGATAAAAAGAGTAAATAGCAACTTTTTCATAGGTAATATAATTTGGCAAATTCAATTATTTTAAATATAATTTTCTATTACTGCAAAAAGTCAGCAAAATATTTTTAGAAAAGGATATAAAGTACCTAAATAAATTATTCTTTTATTATTTATGTTTAAAAAAATTTTTACCAGTTACCAGTTTTAACAGTTTTATTTATAAAATTAGGTACACATATTTGATGTATTTACAGTTTTTCTTATGTTGAAAATAGATAATGAAGTAATAATAATGATTTATAAAATGTAATAATATTATAATTATATATAGGTTTTTGGGTCAAGTCCTACTTGCGATATGAATGAAAAATTTTGGGACATCCTCGCTTTCTGTCATCAAGTATCCTTGTTGATGGTGTCAGAAATTAGAAAAAGAGCTTCAAATCAGAGTACTGAAGCGGCAAGTTGTGCTATAGCAAAATTTCTTGAAATTGAAAATTGTGAGGAATCGAGCAATGGATGGATGTTACTGTCAACTTTAAATTTGTTAGCATCGGGTGATTCTACATTAGTCCAGGTATTACAATATTTTTATAAATTACAATACACAATAAGGTATAATGATTAGGGTGGTTTCATTGTTATTTCAGAAGTTTGACGAACTTTTTAAAAACTGAGATGGAGAAGAGATTTGATAAAATTAAAACTTGAAATTCATGACATACATTTATGATTTTTTCTAGGTCATGTCAGAAGTATCTGTTCCATCGACTCTAGTCAAATGCTTGTATCTCTTTTTTGACTTGCCTGAACTATCGGAGAAAGAAGCAAATAGTAAAGATTCTACCAGCGATTTCACTCCTCGTGAAAGGCGAATTCTTTTGCAAAAGATATTTGTTCAAGTAAGTTTAATATGTTAGGTGAAAACTTCGGATAGTACTAGTATTTTATTAAAGGTTTTGGTACGATTATGTAGTCATAGAATTCCAGCAGAAGAATTAGCAAGAAAAGATGATCTTACCTTATTGTTTTCTGCTATTACCTCTTGGTGTCCACCTCATAATATTATGTGGCGAAAAAGTGCAGCAGAAGTATTAATGACATTATCACGACACGGCCTAACTCCTCCTGTTGTTGGATATATCCACTGTAAGATTCTCTTGAAAACCTATTAAAAATTTAAAATTAATCGAAACTCTGTTTTCTTAGCGAAATCGTGTGTATCATTATGTATAGAAAATATGAAAAAAATACCAGAACTGGCACCATTGGAGTTGGTTGAAATGTTTGTAACTGTATTTTGCTTTCTAAAGGACTCTAGCGAAGTTTCATCAACATTGCTAGATGACTTTAGGCAAGCCCAAGGTTATCCATTTTTATCAGATTTTTTGTTGAAGTAAGTAAACCATAGAATAACTATTTATTTGTAAACTATATATTTATTTATATATGTATTTATTTTGGAATTTTGATTTCTAAAATCATTCAACCATATTAATTCCAGACTAGAAAGTGAAAAATCTAATGAAGCGCAGGAGTCAATAAGAAATTTAGTTCTAATGGTTACATCTTTATGCATGTGTGGTTATATAGAGTTAAAACCATCACAAGCCTCAACTGGATCATTATTTCAGATGCAAGGTTTTATTTTACCCCAACCATCTGGTCGAGGCACAAGTATTAGGAATATCCAAGCATTTCATGTAAGCTTTATCTATAGTACCAAAAAAGTGAATTATCTAGTAATTTTTATTTAATTTTTTAGGTTCTTCAGAGCACTTTTCTAAAATCTAATTCAGCTCTCTTATGTTCCACTATATTAGATGCTATTTCTAGCATTTACCATTCTGACAATGCCAATTATTTCATCCTAGAAAACCAGAATACCTTAAGCCAGTTCACTGAAAAAATCCATCATAAACCAGCAGAAATTCAACAGAAACTCTTTGAATTAATTGAATTTCTCGTTTATCAATTGAACTTTGTACCATGCAAGGAACTAATATCGATGTCAATTTTTCTTAAAACCCATAGTTTAAATTATGTAGACTGCAGTATTTTATGTATGCAAACCTTATTGAACATCTTGAAACACAATATAATTTTTAAAGACGTTTATAGAGAAGTAGGAATGTTAGAAGTATTCGTCACGTGTTTAAATAGATACTCCAATATATTGGAGGAAAAAAAGATATTTCAAAATAAAGGAAAAGATTACAAGCTTCCAGTAGGACAAGAAAAATTAGGTGGACTGGTAGTAGAAGCTCTAACGATATTATTGGCCAGTAATGGAGCAAACGCTAATGTATTAAGGGAATGTGGAGGAGCTAAATGTGTTCATGGATTGGTTCAGTACATAGAATGCCGATATGCGGTTTTAGGTAAGTATACAAGATTTTATTATTAAATCCACTGTTTTAGAAGTGTTAATGTCTACACTTTCGGGTGTTTTTTTTTTCATATTTTTGAAAGAAATAAAAAAAAGCAGTTATGGACTCGATTTTTGAGAAAAGAAAATTGAACAGTGAATTTCACTTCTCAATATCTTGATTCTTTCAGTGATAAGTGCCATTTTCTATGATGTCGAATTAATTTTCTTGTTTTTAAAATTTTTAGATTTGGCAACGTTGCACTTGGCTGGCGCGCTCGTCACGGCGTTAGCTCGCTCGCGTTCGGTCATTCTGTTTGTGTGGATACCTAAACTTGAAATATACATCATATGTCGCACCTGCGCATTTCAAATAAGACACTACGTCGAGAATCACGGCGTAGCTGTTATCACTCATGATGGAGGTTAAGTTAGTCAACGACAGCAATTTGAAGGAGAATTATTAAAAATGATGTACCTTACAAGTACCTAATCGATTTCTACGAGCTGTCATATGGTTCCTTAGATATGTTTCCTATTTATACAAGTTGCTGTGGAAACTGTTCGTCAGTTGTTGCGCATTCTATGTGGAAAGATAAAAAAAATCTGCATTCTCATAAGACTCTGTACTAAATCGTGAAAAATTATTTTACTAATATCTCGTCTCTTAGGTATCCAAACTAGTCATAATTTTTTTTGAGAATTTTCTTCATATTAATAAGTTTATATTAATTTTTTTATGAATATTCGTTAGTCAATCACAAATCAGATAAACCTTAAGTGAAAATATGGTTGAAGGTTATAAAATAATTGTTATTAACATTTTAATATATATTTATATGAACTGGATTATGAATCAACATAACAAGCAAAATGATACACAATTGCGATATGCTCTGCCTGTAAAAAGAGAGACCGCAAAAAACCTGTGATTTTCTCCCGTTTTTTCACAATTCGCAGAGAATTAAAAAAATACTATACTTGTTGTAAAAAACTGAAATGAGCATAGCTTTTATTATTTGGAAAATTTTAAAAATCATCCCTACTTAGGGGTTGAAAAAATTCCAAAAATGAAGAATTTGAATATTTCCAATTGATATAAAAACTATTAGCATGTGAATTATCTTAATATATTTTTTTGGAATTTTTACAATTATTTCTGATATTCTCTATTTTTGGGGATGATTCCACCCCCTGAGCGCGCTTAAAGGTGAATTTTCTAATTCAACATGCATATTTCAGTCATGAGAATAAATCTTTCTTTGTATCAAGAATCATTCGATAGAAAAATTCACATACTAATAGTTTTTATATTTATTGATAATATTAAATTCTTCATGTTGGGTGTTTTTTCAACCCCTAAATAGGGATGATTTTTGAAAATTTTCAAAAAACTAAAAGCTATGCTCATCTTAATTTTTTACGATGAGTAATTTGAGACCAAACACATATTTTTATCTATTTTCTTTAGTTCTCTGCGAATTGTGAAAAACAGGCGATTTTTGCGGTCACTTTCCTATACCAATTGTGATAACGGAGTCATCAATGTGCATGGTTGCGAATAAATACAGTTTGAGCAGCTTGATCCAAATTCAAGTGAATTAATATTAAAGCAGTTTTGATCCTATAAATGTTTAGGGAATAAACTCGGTTGAAGCAGTGAAAGAGTTAAATGAAACAAGATATCAGAGTACAGTATCAATTTTTCTCAAAAATCAACATTTTCACTATTTTTTTGTTTATCTCAACAAATCCTCAGTGTCAGAATTAGGTCAGCTGTCTGACTGTGTTTGTTTGTAATTTTAGGTATAATTAAAGAATTGGTACTAACTACCGGAGGAGATGATGACATGGCACAGCTTCTAACCACCCTTCATTCTGCACCAAGAACTGACCTTCAGTTAAAGATGGATATATTAGAAGCTTTAAAGTTATGTTTGAAGGAATCTCACAGAACTAGAACAGTATTTAGAAAGGTAATAATTATACTATATTTTCTCTTCCATTTGACTCAATGTTTATTATTATGATTTGTCAGGTTAATGGATTTGTGTACGTCACAAGTGTATTAGTAGCATTAGAAGGAAGATTATCTAAAAAGGAAAATAATTCGGAAGTATTATATTTATTATGTTTGGTTTTTCAAACGATCTGCACTGCGATGAGGTTTGAACCGGCCAATGCAAAGTTTTTCTACCATGAAATTTGCAAAACTAGTCTTTGCGATACTTTACTACTGTTAGGATGTTTCACGTCTGAAAAAATGAATGTCTTAACTGAAGTTGAAATAGAAATGAACAACAACAACCAGAATTTATATCATAATATATTTGTTGGTTCTACAACAAATCCTGTGTATGTAGTCATGTGCCACATGAAGGATAAAATGATTTTATTATACTTTTTTAGCATTCCTGATAAATTACCCGCATCATTAGCATATATCGCAGTGATTTATAGATTACTGTATGACTTAGCTTTAGACTTATTTGATAAACCAAATGTTAATTCTAACATATTTTCCATAAAATCACCACCATTGTCTCGAGAGTCAAGTATTCAGGTATACATCATGTACTTATTGATTATCTAATTTTATTGTACAATTTTTTTAAGGGCGAAAACTATAATGGAAAAAGGTCAAATGTCAATTCCTTGAACTTAAACCCTCCAGCGCCTGATCCAATTATAGTTCATCCTGGGGTTGTCGTTTGTATGTTGCAATTATTACCATGCATTAAAGTAAGTCAACAAAAACTTATGTTTCTTAATTATACAGGGTGGTTCCAAATAGTTTCCTGATTTTTAGAACTGATGGTCGTACATAAAATAAAATAAGGCTACCTTTTATATAAACTTTTTTCCAAATATGAACGGTAGTTATCATGTTAGTACGATTATTATCTGGTAAAAATAGTGTTTGAACTGCTGTTACTTTGAATCTTCTTTTAGTACCTGCTGCAATTGAATCAATGGTAAAATGCCTATGGCACGCATAGTAAGAATTATATATTTGCAGTTCTGGTATTTTGTTTAAGCTGGCATAATTACTTAAAGACTGTCAACCAGTGGCGGCTGGTGCGGGAGGGCTCTGGGGTGTCGCACCCCCTAGAAATTTTCATAGTAAAAAAAGATTATTTAAAATTTAGTTTATAATGTTATCTACGTAATTATAAATAAATAAATAACTTTATTGACTTTTTTTACATACATAATACACATATCTGAAATAATTAAATAGATTAACCTTATGAAACATATTAAAAAGGAAATGTTAAATTTGTAAGTGCAGTCAATTTAACTCAACTTGCAAAACTCTTAATACGTGGGCTCCTCATACCTCGCCTCCACATTCTCAAAGTGTTTACAGCGGTGGTCATGATTACTATCGCATGGCATTTGAATTACGGAGTGGGAGTAGTGCATATTTATCATGTAGTTTGGGCTCCGTTTAGTCCGACTGTAAGCAAATACAGTTCACCGCTTTTTTTCTTAATAAACTTAATTTGTTCAGGTATGATGTAAAATTTTGTTACTTACATATTGTTTCTTGCTTTTTTAAAAAAATTCAAAAAAAGTAATTGAAAGGTTTACTTCGGACAAAAGCAGAAGAATTGACTTTCACTATAAAAAATAATGTGTACATTTTCCCTAAATTTCAGTAGTAGTTAAAATAAAACTACCCAATTACGAGGTGTGGCAATTAAGTTCCGGGAATTTGTCAATAAAAAACAGGAAATTTAGTTTCATGCAAAATTTTATTATCGACCTTCACAATAGTCTCCTAACCCTACACAACGATTCCAAAGTTGCTCCCACGATTGGAAGCACCCTTGGTAGTCCTCCGAAGTTAACCTGTTCAGCACCGCGGTTACAGCTTCTTTGACCTCCTGTATGCCACCATGATGAGTTCTCTTGAGACGCGACTTCATCTTGGGGAATAAAAAAAATCTCAGGGATCAATATCAGGGCTATAGGGTGGGTGCGATAACGTTGGAATACCTTTTTTCGCCAAAAATTCTTGCACAATAAACGAGGGGAATGGGCCGATGTGTTGTCGTGGTGCAAGATCTATCCATTCTCGGTGAGTTCGGGTTGCGAACGGTTTCTTTGTTGATGTTTAACTCGTCAGACAACGTATGGCTGCTTAAGCGCCGGTTAGACGTGATCATCGCTCACAAGCGGTCGACATTCGCATCGATACGAGAGGTGACGGAAGCTCCTTCAGGTGGATCGTTTTCGACATGCACTCGTCTCCATTCACCACCTGCAATTTTCAATGGATTTTCGAGGGATTTTTGCCAGATTTCACTAAAAATTGAATCATAACACGTTACTTGTAATGTGAGTCACTCATTTTCACGACGCCACTAAAAAAGTTACTTCTGAAAAATACCCATAAAAGACAAACCAAACGTGCTAACGACTTCAACCTTGGACTGAACCTAAAAGGAAGGTCCCCCCTCTAGACAAATATTAACAAACGACGTAGTATTGCCAGATCCCGAGTTATAACTAAATTCCCGGAACTTAATTGCCACGCCTCGTATATTTGATTTTTTTTTTCATTACATACTTTGTACTGAGGGTTGCTTTCCCTGTACAGCAAGAATAAAAGGCTCTCTCAATGGTAATAATAAAGTATTTTATTGAAAACTAAGTTGTATAGAAAATGACGTGTTGATGGGGTGAATGTTCGTTGGAGAGTCCGTGTGTGTGGAGTCGGTCGTAGGTAAATGAGTAAGCATCTGGTCGCCGGCGCCAGTCCGCCGTAGACCTTTCCTGGAATGCTGGTGCGTCCGGCAGCGTCCTGCTGGCGCTCTTGACGTAATGCTTAAAAATGATTCACTTGCGGCATGTGTACCCACAGTACCTAAATTTTTCCTCCCTCCCTGGTATGGAAATCAAGTGCCATCACTGCTTTCAACCATTGTTCAAAAAGCTGTTTACGTTTTATTGGAAAAAGAAGACATGAACTAAATATATCCTAGCAAAGAACTATTCAAATACTTAAATAATCACAATAAAAAAACCTCAACTAAACACTTTATCATTGTCACAGCTGTTCCTGCAATAAAATTCAATTAGTGACGTAAAGTTTAATTTAAATCAAGTGTTACAGGTGATTGCACTGATTAATGTAATTAGCGAACTGCCACAGGCTGATATACTTAAACTTTCTTTATATTTTTCTTTTCTCTATGTTGTACCTATATGAAATATTTGCAGTTCAATACGTATCAATGATATAAAAATATTAGTTCCAATTTTTTAATTTGTAAAAAGGTATTCTTGTTTTTTTATATCCTGATAATATAAGGAGAGAATTTAGGACCATCCATACCTTAATTTTTTTTCAGAGCGAACAAATTGGAAGTTACTTAAGTTTGCAACTATTTATTTCTGAAATCATAAAATCACTTGTAAGAAGTGAACGTAACCAACAAGTAATGTGTGACAAAGGATTCGCCGGCTACATTCTTTCTATAGGATCATCCCCTTTGCAAAATGAAGATCATCCTTTGCATGGTCCCTTACAATACATGTTAGAAAGACTAGCAGCTCAAGCTGTAGAACCGACAGACCTAAGACAGTTTTTAAGACTCGGAAATCCACTTTGTTGTCTGCCACTTGGTTCTAAAGAACCAGGAGGAGGTCCAGTTCCTCTCACAAGAATAAAAACTTTAGTCTCAATGACTACTCCAAAAGACTTCAGAGCCCAGTCATCGTATACACTACCACCATTTGTTGAATTCGACATGTCAGCCGAAGGTTTTGGTTCTCTTTACTTACCGAGCATTGCGCCACAATCACCCTCTGCTCCTAGTGTTGTCTCAGCAGTTGACAGCAGCATTTTAGGAGGTATAGGAGCAGGGGACAGAATATTTCCTCCACAGACAGGTTTAAGCTATTCAACTTGGATATGTGTCGACAAGTTTTCTGATCCTCGATCTGATCCCCACTGTGTGAGATTATTAACTTTACTCCGAAACTTCAATGGCATCCGTGAAGATCATTTGGTTTGCTTGTCCATTGTTTTGTCAGCAAGAGACAAAGCTATTATTGTATCTACGCAAGAAACTCACATTCCAAATCGTATGTATCTAAAATATTTTAATGCAAAAAAATCCTTTTTTTGTTTATTAGATATTGGAGACTGGGAGCCTGAAGGCTCAGGGGAGCATGGAGCTAGGGTGTGGTGTCCAGACATTCTTCAAGAAGGCCAGTGGCATCATTTAGTTGTCGTTTTGAACAGAGCAGTATTAAAAAATTCTTCATTTTCTTTATACCTAGATGGTCAGCAAATTCATGCGCAGAAAATGCATTATATTTCTCAAAACCCAGGTGGAGGTTCAGCAAATTTAACAATTGCGACGTCTGTGTATGGGTTTATAGGGACTCCACCAGCTTGGAGAAGATATTCACGTCTGTGCTGGAAACAAGGGCCTTGTCACCTGTTTGAGGAGGTAAAAAATTTGAATTGTTTTAAATCTAAATATACAGGGTGATTCAAGATTTATTAGTCAACCTTAAAATTTTAATTCTGGTAATAAAACAAAAAGAGAATAAATTTGATGGGAGAATATCAAGAAACAGGCTTTGATACAGAGTGTCAAAAATTTGAAATAGTTTCATATTTTCAAAACTATCTCTGAACATTTGATATAGAATGAGAAAATATCAAAGGAATAATTTATTTTATTATAGCTAAAAATCTTTTGAATTTGGATATACCTATGTCACCAGAAGACACTGTCACTATATAAGGACTCCAGAAATTAGACCACTGGAAATTTAATAAGTACTTATAGTTTTTACTGGTGTATGCAAAAAATTTCTTTTTCATTTTATTTAAAAATACCATTTCTTATCTAAAATAATTTTGACATTACTGGTTTTATCAAAAAAGAAAAGATTTTTTCTAAAAATACAATTGTAAATACATTATACAATGTGTCTACGGATTGAGTGTGCGTGGGGTGTCAATGACAAAAATTTTTCGAGTTAAAATTTGAGCTGGGAATCATCTCTGCTTGGCCTTAAACTAAGAAGTTGGAAAAATTAGTCCAATTAATTAATGTACAGGGTGTTTTTACGATGAATTTTCAAAAAGTCAAGAGTAATGTACCTTTGTTTTTAAAAATATCAAAAATATTTGCTTAAGAAAATTATTGAGAACTAAAAGTTATGACAGATTATCAATTTTCAATTTGATCGGCCAACTTTGTTTTTTATATTTTTCACAACCACAAAGTGCAAATTCCTAATTATTTATTAGAAAAAAAAAGTAACATACAGTGTGTCCCAGAAGTAACGCAAGAAATTTGTATTTTATTATGTGTTGCGTTTTCTCAAAAATGTTAGAACACATCAATTAGTAAATAGAAATTGTCATTTTGCCACGTTGCTTAAACCTCTTGCGCTATGTTTTATAAACCTATGACGTCATCAATATTTTTTTTAAATAGCACTACCTAATTTTTTAAGCATAAATGGATTGTCCTTTTGAAGGGAAATACGTCGATATAGGGTTTGGCCTACTTTACTTTGACAGGAGCGAAAAATAAGCCAATGACTGGAATGGACATGGTTTAAAATAACAACAAAAGTAGGTATCATAAACTGATGCGAGAACAGTGCCACAGCAAAAAACGGAAATTTGTGGATGTTTTGTGTTTTGGTTGATTGTAGGTACATTTTTACAAGAACGGCACTGTGTGGATTTTCAGTGACAGCTAAACATAACATTTTGCCTATCATTTTCTGTCACTGTCGTTGGCCTTCCAGATCTAGACAGATCTCTAACATGTCCAGCGTCTTCAAATTTGCGTAGTAATCTGCATACTGTAGATGGAGGTATTGGTTGTTCTGGTTACTTGGCATTGAATAATTGACATACTTCATCATAACTACGGATCCTATCTCCGTATCCAACCATAATTAGGATTTCAATTCTTTGTTTCTCATTTAAACACAACACCATCGTAATGTAATGTTATGATATTTGTAACTGTCATAATGATATGAAGCACTCTTGCATTCACTAGCTGTCGTCTTCAAAACAGTACCTACATAGCCGCTGCGATCGGGTGTACCTACCAAATCTACATAAAAATATGTACCTACAATCAACCAAAACACATTTTTTGCTATAGCACTGTTCGCGCATAAGTTTGTGATACCTACTTTTGTTATTAATTCAAACTATGTCCATTCCAATCGTTGGCTTTTTTCGCACCTGTCAACGTTAAGTAGGCCAAACCCTATATCGACGCATTTCCCTTCAAAAGGGCTATCCATTTATGCTTAAAAAATTAGGTAGTGCTATTTAAAAAAAATGTCGATGACGTCATAGGTTTATGAAACATAGCGCAAAAAAGTTTAACCAACGTAACAAAATGACAATTCCTATTTACTAATTGACGTGTTTTAGCATTTTTGTGAAAACTTGGCACAAAGTAAAATACGAATTTTTTGCGTTACTTCTGGGAAGCACTGTATAATAAACATAAATAAACAAATAATATAATGGTTATTCAAATGTGCTGCAACCAACCATTACACATCGCTCAGCACACTTGGTAAATTCTGTGTAGGCGTTTTGGATTTCTTGAATGGGGATGGCATTAATTGTATCTTTTATTCTTCGTTTCAATTCAAATAAATGGTTATTCAACGGGGACCCATAGACTTTCTGCTTGAGATAACCTCATAAATAAAAGTACATTAGAGTTAAATAAGGAGGCCAAGGAATAGGTCCGTTTTGCCCAATCCACTGCCCAGGAAATTGACCATCTAGCCATTCTCAAATGATTCGCGTTGAATGCGCTGGGTGTCCGTCTTGTTGAAAATAAAAAAAAAACACCGTAACATCGTAAAAACACCCTGTACATTAATTAATTGGAAAAATTTTTTCAACTTCTTAGTTTAAGGCCAAGCAGAGATGATGCCCAGAAGCTCAAATTTCAACTCGAAAAATTTTTGTTATTTACACCCCACGTGCACTCAATTCGTGGACACACTGTATACAATAAAAAAAGCGTTGGTATGTATTATCAATGAATACATGTAAAAATCATATTGTTGGAAGAGAATCCTATATATATATATTTCTTAAACTAATAGTTCCAAAGAGCCTTATCGAAATAATAATAGCTTTATTGTTCTGTGCCACTGATTTGGCCAATTAATCCTGAAATGGCCTATAGAATTACAAATGTTATTAAAGAATTTGCAGAAACTATAAAAAATATGTAAGTATTGTGTTTTAAAGGAATTATTGAAATTACATACAGAGAAAATTGGTCAATATAAATTTTTGATGGTCATTTTCAAATGTTATTTTTATGGTTAGTGACTGGTTATTTTAATCATTTTTGTTAAGTGACTGCTATTACTGCTGTAAATTTACTTTTTTAATGGAGTAAAAAATAAAGAAAAGATTTTAATATTTTAGGTACTGACGCCATCGACAGTTTCTCAAATGTACCACTTGGGCCCCCACTATATGGGTTCATTTTTAGCACCCAATTTGAACAGTCCAGAAGCAACTCAACTAGTAACAGAAGAAAAAGTTGTATTTGGCTTGAACGCAAAAGCTGTGTCACAATTAACACTAAACAAAATCAGGAAGGTCTATAGCAGAACCGATAATAAGTCAATTGCAAAACAGTTAGGAATGTCTAGTCATGAAAATGCCACTCCAATTAGAATCTTGCATAATTCTGCAGGACATTTGGCTGGATCTGCAAGGACTTTGGGAGGGGTAGTTATAGGATATTTAGGTAGGTAATAAATCATATTAACTTGTGCTATTTTTATATTATATCATTGTGAGGTAAACAAAAGAATTAATTTTTGGTATAATGAAATTAAATTAATTATCGTCAATTTATAATTTCAGGCGTAAGAGTGTTTTGCCCTCGACCGGTGGCTACTACAATAGATACAGTAGGTGGTTGCTCGGTTCTTTTAGGACTTATTGCTATGGCACAAGATGTTGAAAGTTTGTATGCTGGTGTTAAAGCTTTAGTTTGTGTTGTACGGAGCAATAAAGTGTGTCAGGCAGAAATGGATAGAAAAAGAGGTTATCAGACATTGGCGATGTTACTTAGGAGAAAACGGACGTTACTAAATTCTCACATACTTCATCTAGCATTTAGTCTTGTCGGAACAGTCGATAGTGGGAGAGAATCATCAGCTATACCTAATCGAACAGCTTTTCAAGTATGAAAATCTTATTACAACTGTGTATATACTTTTTCTTAATATTGTTTGTTTTTAGGATCTTTTATGTGACTTGGAAGTTTGGCATGAAGCTCCTGGAGAACTGTTGAGATCACACTTAGAACATCTTTATGAGTTGGCAGCTGAATCTAATGAGAAACGTAACAACACGTGGATAATGCGGGACCTGCAATTAGTTGAAAAACTTTTACATATTACCCCCGATGTTAAGCATCCAGCTACAAGACAAGTATTATTTTCTTTATTGGGTATATTATTAAGTGGGCAACCAAGACAAAACGATCTGTTATTATTTGGCCAATTTATTGCATCTACTCTACCTCAGTCGTCCACGCCTTCAGAAAAAATTTTGGAGTTGCGAGAAACCGAGTCCGAGAAGGAAGGCGAGGGGGAAAATATTCTCCTGAGAAACAGATGTTTAGGACTTTTACATAATTTGGTATTTGCAAGTAGGAATCAAATCGGTGAAGAAATTGCTCGGACATTAGGGTTTGATTGGTTATTACTTTTCATGCAGCCCCACATTCACTCATCTACAGTGGTTTGGGCTTTACGAATCTTAGTGGCTATTTGCTCAAGTCCCTCGCTATTGTTACGGTGAATACATTACAATAACTTTTATAACGATATATTAACAATTAACTTTTAGATTTCGTGAGGGCAGCAGCAATGGGGGATGGCTTCGATACACTGAACAAGTGGCTCATAATAAAATGGCGGTGGTTTTAGGATATCAGTTAAATAGCATCCAGTGCAATGACATCAAGGCTGAAGCATTGCATATTCCTGGTTTTCAGTATTTAAACTGGTTACTTCCGCACCACCTGGAAATACCTGAAATCTATTTTTTATTGACTGCTTTAATGATGGGTCAACCTGCAAAATTATTGCCTTCTGAAATAAAATTCGATTTGGATACTGTTTGGGCTTTCCTCTGGGGCAGTTCTATAAACAACCAGCCGATTAATAGTGTGATTCCTCGAATAAATCTATGCCCAGAGGCAGTTGTAGTTTTGCTGGTAATGGCTAGAGCGATGCTACATTCTGATCACAATGCTTTACCGGCGTGGTTACAAAATCATACCGTCTCTATTATTCAGGTAATTAATCCTCATTTAACTAAACAGACTAAAAAGGTGCAAGTCGGTATTTGCTTACAAACTGAGCTACGGCAGTCTATTGGTGTCTATTGGAGGCTCCACAAACACAATTTAAAATGCTGAAATTAAATTTTATCAATATAATATTGTCTCTAAAAGACAAGAACCAGTGCCTAACAGCAAAATATGAACTCACTGGCCCAATCGGCCAGGAAAGTGTATCAAAAGACAAAATTTATTCTAACATCTTCAGTTGATTTTCACACCTCGTGGCTCGTGAAGAAAACTTTTGGTAATACCAAATGCCTCTTTTTGTACCCAAGTGTGGAAGCGAGAGTTACCTACAGCATTTAATACATAATGACTAGAAAGATAGGCAAGCCCGCTGACGCGAACTTGACCTTTCCCTCAGGCCGTGCTGCGCGCGTTCTCTGTGGGTTGGCTCTGTGGGTTGGTAAATGATATATAACATTTTCCAAAAAAAAAAAAAAAAATGTGACCCGCCCGCGATTCAAACCCCGGACCTTCGGCTTCGCAGTCGTTAGTTTACAAAATGAGCTACAGTGATCTAACGCTGGATGGTGCCTACACGGGCTATTTGAAACGTTGGTTCTCAGCGAATGTAAACAGAAAATTGAAAATGTTCAATTCAACTTTTGTTGCCAAAGTTGTGTATCTAAAAGATCGCGACTGATGCCTGACGGTAATGTAACGACTCACCATGGCCCGATCGGCCGGGAAAGTACATATTTTGATGTCTTCACTGATGTTTGTCTTCATGTCTGTTTAAATATCAGATATACTTCGGGTATCTCTTTCCCACCGAAATAAGTTAATATTCCGCGAGGACTCTTTTTAAAGTGGAAATTTCACATAGAAGGCGCGAACAGATCGCCTTCAAAATATTATGCTTGGATAAAGGAAGGTCAGAGGGGCCCTTCGGGAAAACCTTTGATAATACCATACGCCTCTTTAAGCGGCCAAGTGTCGGAGCGAGAGTAACCTACAGCTTAATATACGGGATGTCCCAGAATAACGTGTATAACGGAAGTCCACAGCTTCGTGGACTGAAAATAAGCAGATTTAGGTTAATTCACCTATATCCAAAATCGCATTGTTTGGTCACTAGATGGCTTCAAAATTTGTGACAATTTTTTTAATTTTGTAAATAACTCGAATACGTATTATTCGATTTTGATTATTTTTGGGGTGTGGACTTTTACTTTCAATCTACACATTTTAATGTTATACACAGTGTTTTTTAAAACTTACAACTCCTACAAAATTGATGTATGGTGATAATATCCATTCATAACGTTTTCCTCTTTCGGGCAATAATGACAACTATTTTTTATTTGATTGGTGATACCATTTGAAAGTTTTTGGGCCTCTTGTAGAATTTTGATTAAATGAGCGGTTTGGGTACAAAAAATTATTTTTTAAATGTCTACATTATCTTGCCGCCCATATTACAATACTTAACAAAGTGCTAGTAGGCTCTGATTTTGTAGGTTGACTGTAATTTCAGTTTGATCTTGTTTGGGATAGCATTATTATTGGACCTGTTATTCTACCCAATAGACTGAACGGGGAATTTTATTTAGAATTTTTGCAAAACTCGAGTTATTGGAAGATGTGCCATTATTACTCAAAGCTACCATGTGGTTTATGCATAAAAGTGCTCCACCACATTTTACTGTAAATGTCCGGCAGTGTCTGAACCAAAGATTCTCTCGTCAAAAATAAGTTGCACTAAATTTAATAACTTCAACTTTGTTACTTTTATCTCCAGCATTTTTTATTGTATTTGATTGTTTTTACGAATTATCTTAATGAAATAAATTGCAAATAACTCTAATTCATCATATGTGTGTATCCATATCGAAAAATGAAGTAACGTGTGGTATATTTTATCGTAGTAAACACTCATTAAGAATTGACAGGTGCAAAGACTGAAATTACAGTCAACCTACAAAATCAGTGACTACTAGCACTTTGTTAAGTATTATAATATGGGTGGCAAGATAATGCAGACATTTAAAAAAATATTTTTTTGTACCCAAACCGCTAATTTAATCAAAATTCTATAAGAGGCCCAAAAACTTCCAAATGGTATCACCTATCGTTATTGCCTGAAAAAGGAAAAAGTTGTGAACAGATATTATCACCATACATCAATTTTGTAGGAGTGGTGAGTTTTAAAAAGACTGTGTATAACATCAAAATTTGTTGATTGAAAGTAAAAGTCCACACCCAAAAATGATAAAAATCGATTAGTACATATATATTTACAAAATTCAAAAAATCTTCACGAACTTTGAGACCATATAGCGGCCAAACGAAGCGATTTCGGATATAGGTGAATTAGCCTAAATCTACCTATTTTGAGCCCACGAATCTGTGGTCTTCCATTGTACACGTTATTCTGGGACACCCTGTATATGGATTTTGTCATTTATGAAAATAATTATAAAGGTGAATAAGCCTCAACACTTGGAAACTTGCAATGAGTTCATCTCACAAACTTGTATAGTTATTAAGCAAACCAGTAGAATGAATAATATTCACGTCAAACTATAACCAAATTGTTTACAGGATCAAAATAATTTTCTAATGGAGCAGTCGATCTTGAAGAACATGACCATAAATTATTCCTAAAAGAGTGCTTTTTAAGATTTGACAGGTCTACTCAAATTAATTTTGTATTTGATCGAATTTAGTGTCGAACAGTAGTTATATCTTAGACCATACTTTACTTGCGCCATCTGGTGTTAGGAAGTTCAACTAAAATCTCATACTGCCCTCCTCGTTTCATTTACTGATAGAGGAAATAGAGGAATTATTTAAATAAGAAGTTTGGTAATAATAATAATAATAATAATAATAATAATAATAATAATATATCTACTCCTCATTCTAATAACGAGAATTAGCCCATAAGTCGGAGACTTGNAAGAAAAAAAACATAATTTAATTAAATAAATACATATAAATAAGGAAAGCAGGAGAAAGGCGATGAATATTCCTACATGCAAAATGAATAAAGTGGTGGTGTACGTGATACATTTGAACAAACAATAATCTACATTCTAATCTAAGTGCTGAATTCAACCTTGGCACAGTTAATAATTCGGGAAAGGGTACTGATATTAATGTCACAAACGTCCGAAATCCTATTGAAATTTCTACTCATGACATATACGGGAGATTTAAAAAGTACATTGGTTCTAGCCGCTTGATTATAAAAAGTAATATTTTGTCGAGAATTAATTCTCGGTATTCGAAAATTGAATTGACTTAATAGTTCCGGACAATCTACATTATTATGAAATAAGTTATATAACATTTTTAGACTATATGTTATGCGACGTAATTCTAAAGTAATGCAATTAAACCTTTGAAGTAAGACCGAGTGATCGTATCCTCTTTCAGGATAAAAATTATCAACTTTCAAACATAGAACCTTGAGAAATTTACGTTGCACATTTTCTATAGTTGTTTTATGGTGTACATAATGCGGATACCAAACAGGTGAACAATATTCAAGCTTTGACCGTACATAAGAATAATACAAGGTTTTCAAGGCAAATTCATTTGAAAAAGACTGACAATTTCTAATGATAAAACCAAGCATCTTTAGGGCTGAATCTGTGGCATATTTTATATGATTTGAAAAGGTAAGCTTTGAATCAAATATGACTCCTAAATCTTTAATAGTATTGCAGCGTTGAAGTCTTGCACCATTCAGAGTATAGTCATAAACAATTGGGTTAAACTTACGAGTATAGCTTACCGTTACACATTTATTTACATTTAACATCAAACAATTATCATTACACCAGCTCTCCAATTCACATAGTTGCGCTTGTAACAGAAAACAATCATCAATATCCATAGTCTAGTATGTCCCAATATTAATAGGAATGGCTTACAATTTGAACAGAAAATAAAAATTTATATTAGGAATCAGTGAAATTGCTTGCACAGTTGATATTAATTTTCATGGTAGAATAACTCACTTTTGGTTTCAATCAATACTTCGTTCGTCTCAATCGATTCATCCATTTGAAAGTTGTGATCAGAAAGATAATTTCATGTTTTCATTTCTGAGACACCAATAACTTTATAAACACATCCACATAAAAAAAATGGAATTTTATGAATGGTATCTTAAATATAATATTTAATTAATTGAGAGAGAAAGGTATACTTCAATATGTCATTTTTGCAGGTTCTCTTTCAACTGTATCACAACATGCCCGAATTCATGCCAATTTTTATGTCTTCAGAGGTCTTGGGGGCTTTAGCTGGCGTATTATTTCCTACTCACTCCACTCTGTTAGAAAGCACGGATAGTAGTGGAGCATCAACACCTGCCGAAGAAGCCGAAAATCTCATAATTGTTCCAAGAACACCATCAGAAGAGGAACCGTTAACAACACACCCAGCAAGGCAATTCATCATCGACTTTATCCGAGTTATTGTAGTTGACTCCTTAAGTTTGTCAGTTACTGGGAAAAGTTCGCCTGTGGTGGACTTGGTCCTTGATGCCTACCCAGAAAATTCTAAGATTTCCCAACAAATCTGTTACCAGACTGAGATTTTAGTTACCTTAATGGATCATCTGTTAGCTGCGGATATGTTAGTTGGTGATCAAGCTGCTATACCTGTAGTGCCGTTGGTAAACGCTCACATTCAGCACGTGGCGCCAAATGTTTTTTATTTAACTGCAAGGATTGTTGATAAGTTGTGGCAAGGATCGCTTACTAAGGATCCGCATGAGGTGTTTGATTTCATTGTCAAATTAATTGGTCAAGTTAAAAGGAGAACTGGAAATTTATCTATGGAATGTTTATACCACTGTTTGAATAGATGCATTTTATTCCTACTTTCTCGTCCAACAGATTCCATCGCAGACCAAATGTCGGTGTTAGAGGCTTTACATAAACTAACAACAAATAGGTAAGTTCAGAAATCAAATATTTATTTTCATACTTTGCTTAGTTTTACATTTTATGGAAGTGTAGAAGAGACAACAAATAACTTTCGCTATGGCATACTACTGTCGAGTGTGGAGATAGTATCATTATTATGATTGATGGTCATTTGTGTGTTTTTTTTCTAATGTGTGCATGTATGTGGTCCGCATATTTATACAGTTTGTTAGTGACACACGGAGGCTGGCTTGTGCATACTAACATTCCTTATAATAATTTTAAAACCGTGCCTAAACATAAAGATTTTTTTTAAATTTTACATTTATGTCGTACGGGCCAGGTTGACTAACGTCGTTCATTACAATAATAATAAAGAAAAAAAAATCAATAATAAATATATATAATATATAATAAAAAATAATCAACTGTAGTCTCTAGCGTCATTCGCAATACACGTGGAGAGCCAATCGTCTTTATGATAGTGTTTACAATAGTTTTTTAGTAGTTAGTGTGAAAAATGGCATGCGTTTATAGCAACTCGAAGTTGTTGGATATCGTTTTAATTTATGGTGAAGCAAGACAACATTTGTAATATGGTGAAGCATTTGTGTACGCAAGACAACATTTGTGTTAGTTCGTAGGAACTGAGTAAGATGGACACAAATGCGTTTACACGTCGGTGGACAAAATTTTGAACAGTTGTTGTAACATCAGGTATATCAAATTATTTTATTATTTGAAACCACAAATTAATTTTGTTAATAACAATAGCGGCAAAAGCAGTTGAATTTGCTGATATAAAATAGGTGTTATAAAATTCCTTTCCTTGCAAAATTCTTTCAAGTTTTTGTCCATTTTTATCACACTTTGCCAGCATGCCGATTGCATTGTATGACTTCAGGTTTTACAGTGGACTATTTTCCAGTACCATGCAGAAGTCTATTTTTAAATCATTTTTGAACTGCCCGTTTTGATTTTTGCTTTACAAAATTGTATTCGTAAGAGTCCCCTGTACATCCAAAAATTTTTTTTTGATAAGTTCTGAATGACCCTGTATACATTATTTTGATAAGTACGATAATTCTGGTCCATTTATGATAATTTTACTCTGAGGGTATGATATTTGTCTCACTTCAGGTTGTGAACACTGATGAACACTACTTGTAAATAATAGGTTATGTAATTTTCTGTCACAATGACTAACCAAAAAATAGTTATGTATATTAAACTATTTGCGGGTAAATATTCATATACTTGTCTAAGCTGTTTAATTCACACTGAGCTTATAAAGTATACTTATACCAAGAGAGAGCGCAAGTTTTCCTTACATGCATGGTGAAATAGCGACTGGGCGCAGATGAGCAATTTCCGCAACAAAAAGGTTAATCTACAAGCTAAAATTCCCAGTTTCAAACTTGTAAGTAAAAAGAAGTGCTACTTTTAAGCTAGAAACTGTTATTCTCAGTCAACAACCTGCAAATGAAATTACATTTTTCTACCTTATAATTTTAAACTTCATTTGTGTAACCACTTCTTATTTAGAAATTGGAATTATAATTTTCCGACTTAAAGGTATTTCTGACTTTGAACTTGAATATTTCGCTTGTAAGTCTGAAGAATACATTCGCTGTCTCTTCTAAGCCTCCACCGATATTACCTACTTAACTACTATTATTTAATCGTTATTTAATTACTTAATCGTTATTTAATCTTTGTTGTTAAATTCTAAACCTATTCTAGATTAATTGTGTTTGGAGCTGGCAACCATGAGTTGGACTTCATCGGATGTCTGACCTATTGTCTGCTGCAATTGACAGCAGACATGAAAGTCATGCTAGAGTCTAACATGAGAACGACTTGGCATGTGAATCCTAGCAGTGACCTTGAATCACGTGATGAACAACTGAACTCCCATCAAGGACGCAATCTCATGGCTGGGGCAGCGTTACGAGTATGGGAGGAATTATATGTCTGCAAAAAGCCAGCTATAGAGGAAGTATTTAAAGTACCATTAGCACTGCCTAATCAAAACGCAAAAGCTCCCGATCTGACTATTGTTCGGGAACAGGTGTTTGAGGCTGCAGCAAAACTTTGGTTGAATTATGTAGAAGCTGAAAGGAAAGCTCTGTACCGGGTCCCATGGGAGCTACATAATCAGATCCAGTCGAAAATCCATAAGGTAACAGGTGGATTAACGAGATTAGCTAGTAGAACCAAAGTTAGAAAAGATGATACAATGCGAGTTAGGATTCGCATGGGCAAAAAACAAGCTTTAGCTTGGATGTTAAGTCATATCAACCTATTAAAGTAAGTATCATTTAATACTCAAATTATTACTTGTTTTTCTTGATAACGTACATACAGAACTTTCATAAATGATTACAAGCCACGTGACCACCGAGCTTAGACAACCAACATTGCATGGCTCCAAATCTCAGCGTCACCAATATTAATGACTCGTTTACAGTGAACAATGACAAACTATTACATCTACGCTCGAGATAATGCGATCGCTGACTGCATGGAGACTAAACAAGGAGCACGAACTCATATGGGAAAATTGACAAAATTTATCAATGTAATAGTAAGAATTACTTATAGTTTTTACCGCTAGGGTCGCTAGTTTTCCTTGTACAACAACATATTTTCATTATTTATTGATTTATTTATCTAATTTAAAGTAGCCTACATTATTTATTTTCAAATTTTTAACACAACACAGAAAAATGTCATGATCGATTTTTAATTCAAACTGTCGCTTTTTTTTATCTCCTCTCCACTATTTCGGTGTACATGGGACACTAGCGCCCTCTAATTTGGTAAGATATTTGTATACGTGGAGTTTGTGGTCCTTGTGTAGTCTCCATGGCTAATTAGTTGAATAAAATCGCCGGCTGGTGAAAATAATGTTATATCTTAATATAATGTCGATCTTATTGTTTTAATAAATTTTATTTTTGCCAAAGTTTAATAGCCAACATGAAGAAAATAAAATTATTGTTTCAAACAAAATTACAAATTTAATCATAAAAATATACTATAAAAGACAAAGTAACTGACATTTCCTTGAATACAAAAATGAATTCTTCGTAATAAGGCATGGAGTCGCTATATGGCTCCTGCTTTATTTCTTAAAATGATTACTTCATTTGCAACTCTGCTGTATAGTTAGTTACTTTTCATTCTCCATTGGATAATACACTTGTCGAGTCTGGTGATTGAAGGGGCCATTTTTAGGAGCATCTTATCCTCTTCCGAACAACCGTGAAATGGGGAGGTGTACCGTTGTGCATAAACCACATTTCGTGGTGAACAGTAGATCTTCTAGTAATTATGGCAAGGTTTGATGAAAAAAATTAAGACAGATTTCTCCATTTAGTGTGTCTGGTAATATAACAGAGCTTATATTAAAATTACTGATAACTCCGGCCCAAATAGTTATTTTTAATTTATGTTGTCATCGCCATGGTAGCGTAGTCAGTCGAGAGTGTGGTGGCAAGCATTTCTCAGCCAGGCTTCCTATTCTGGTCCGGCTTCGATCCCTGGCTTCGGCAATGTCGATGGATAATGGGTGTTTGTCCGCGTTTTTTGAAGTGTAGCACCCTTCCGCACAGCCTTTGACTTTGGATTTGGGGGTTGTCTCATTTCTGTGGTGTGTTTTTTAAGAGGTTATTTTAACAGCATGTGAATTTTCATCAGTGTATAAATGCTGATTGTGGAGTTTAGTGCCAAATCTTATACAGATAGTCTCTTCAGTAAATTTTTTGCTGAAATTTGTATTGCAGATTTGTTTATTTCATATAATCCTGCAGAAAGTTACATTTCTGGATCTTTGTGTTTGGTTACAAAGTAAAACAGCATCTCTTCTGCAAATATGTCAGTCCTACTTTGACATTAATATTATTGCTTATTGGTTTATTTGACTTTATTTAATTTTCTATATCATTTAAATTTTTCCTCGGGAAAATAAAATCATGCTAGTTTTGATATAGGTATATGTAATTACTATGAAATGGTTTACTACTACTCTCTGTATTGAAAATAACCTGTTATTTACACATATTTGAGCCATTGAGGAACATAACCAAAAAAAAAGTGATCAAATATAAAACGATAAAATTTAGGGCTTCCTTATTAGTATAATTTTAAATTAATATAATAAATGTCGTCCCTTTCGTGGTTCTTGAGAACTTTCTATTTCATTGGCTGTTGTAATCAAAGTGAGTCAAGTGACAAGTCCTGTATTCTTCTTTCCGGGCATGTAAAAATTTTGAAAAAATGCTGTCTTAATATTTCCAGTTTTGTCAAATGTGATAATAAAATAACATTCGTGTGAGACGTACCTATTTTTTTTACTAGGATCCAATAGAATTATTATGGACATTGAAATACAAACTTTTTTTAGGGAATTGGTGGAAATGAGGCACCAACAACATCAAAACACAACTCAGCATACCCAGAGGTACGTACATCAAGAATGGTTACAGACTGAAAATGAATTGACGAGAGAACGAGGTCTTTGGGGGCCCCCAGAGCCTTGCTACCTAGACAAATGGATGTTAGATATGACTGAAGGACCACACAGGATGAGAAAAAAGACTATGAAAAACGATTTATTTTATTTACATTATCCTTACAGGCCTGAACATGAAAAAGGCATGTTAAAGTACAAAGTAAGTGGTAGTATTAAAAGCATAGTTAATGTTTTACAATACAATGAAAGAGAAGGATATGTAGTTATTTTATTCGAATAATTAAATTATTTTTGGAACTAGGTTAAAGTTGAACGAAGTCCATTATTTGTTTTAATATTTTTATAAGGTTTATCTAAAATAGGACAATTTTCCTAGCAGTTGTAGAGACAAATATATCAATTTTATGTTTCTAATAAACAAATAATTTCAGCATAAAATGCATCAATAAAGATGTTTGCATTAGCATTATTGCAATTAAATTGACTAAATTGTATTAAGCAACTACTATCGGCTGTTGTTGGCACTGACAACTTAGCAACATTCTGTACAGAATTTTACTTATGGAACCAAGCTTGTTGTAGTATTTCTTATATAGAATTTATGAAAATTTATAAAGAATATAATATTTTTAGGTAGCTACTAGTTATCACAGTAAAGAATATTTTAATGCAATCCAGTTAAGAAAACATATAGGTGTTAGTGGGCTTAGCGAACCAGAAAGATCTGATAGTGTAATCGAAGAGCCTACTCCATTGCCTTTTACCCCCACCCTTCCACAACTTGCACGATTGAAATCTGATCCCGAGGATCAGCAGGAAGACGGTGATGCTGAAGAAGAGCAGTCACCACAGCCTGATAACCAAACCCTTTTAAGATTACTTGATGAAAACGAAAAGGTAATTAGTTAGAACATTTTTTTAATTTTATAAATTGTGTAAATTTTAGATTACTTACATGTTCAGATGTGCAAGGATTCAAGGTTTAGATACAACAGAAGGATTGTTACTGTTTGGTCAAGAACACTGTTATGTTGTGGATGGGTTTACGTTATTGAAAAATAGAGAAATTCGAGATATTGAAAGTGTTCCACATAACACGAATGAATATGAACCAATCTTACCTAATCCAGGTTCACCTCGAAGATCCAGGGCGATGAGACAGTGTTCTAGATTCTCTTATGATGACATCAGGTATTTATAGCTAGTATAGCATACATACGACAATAAACTAAACAAATTTATTTTAGAGAGGTACATAAACGGAGGTACCTTTTACAACCCATGGCTTTGGAGGTGTTTTCTGGAGATGGTAGAAATTATCTGTTAGCTTTTCCAAGAAAAGTAAGGAATAAAGTTTACCAAAGATTTATGGCTTTAGCGACTGGCATTGCTGACAGCGCCCAACAGTCTGTTGCTGGTCAAAAACGAACTGCTAATGTTGAACAAGCAACCAGTTTGTTAAGCAATCTTATAGGAGAAACGAGTGTAACACAAAGATGGGTGGTATGTTTTATATACAAATTCTAATAATAAAAAGAAGATATAAGCTTGACAGCTTACATCTTTAATAAGTTGATATCTGTGTAGCTGTGTAATAAAGATATCAGAACTAGTGTCATTTTTTGAAAACAATTAGGAATTTTTCGTGAGTTCCCGTTTGATCAACGGTAACAAGAAATCAGTTACCGGTGCATTTTCGTGTAATAGCGTGAATATGATGACGTCAATATCTATAAAATGGGAACTGAATTTCTTACCGGTGTCTAGTGGAGAGTTACTAGCGGTTATTGCGATATAACGAAAGTAAGGTTAAAGTAAAGATACACACCTAAACCCAAATCGTGCAAAAGAGAAAACGAAAATGGAATTGGAAAATGACGAAAACGTTCAAATTACTTTGAATTATTTAGGAGACGATTATACAGTCCTTACAGATCTGCAAATAGCTAATATTTTATTGAATGGCTTAATCAAACATGCAGTATCATTTTCTATTACTGTTTTCAATAGATTATGAAATGTTTCTTCATAGGAAATAACTAGAAAAATACATGTTCTTGGTACGGTATGGTATCTATCCAACCAAAAGTGATGGTCAATTACATGGCAGATGTGTTGTTCTCTAAATATATAAAATTTTCTGTGGTATTGCTGCCTTGCAAAATTGTTCTCACTTTCCACAGAGCTATCGAAAAGGAAGTCTTCAAAGAGTAAAAATTAAAAAAAAAACATTTCTCCGAAAATTTCGAGAAAATACATAACCTGAAAACGAAAAACAAACAACCAGTTATTTAGAGAAAGCGAAGAGAAAGTGGCCTCCAAAAAAAAATTATATTGCCGATTTTGATACTTTCTTTCTTAAGTGAAAAATATGTCCGTCATCGATCAAATGAACTGTATTTGAGATAAACTGCACTTGACAAGTATATTTGGTAACGCCATCAAACGTTTGATCAAATTCTTCCTAGTCCCGCGTGATCGCATCGTCCTCTTTTTGAAGTTTTAATACACTTAAAAAATGTACACTGAGGAAAAAATTGTAAAAAGGTCTAATTTGAAACAAGTAATGCAATAGTTCTATCTTTCTTGTTCTACCTTTCTTATATTAGAATTTAATTAGAAAATATACGCGACAGACAGTATGATATGAGACACAATACAGGTATATGAAAAGGGAATGAGTAAGCGACAAACGCACAAAAAGTACAAATACAACTTTGCCAGTTAGCCGCACCGAATACAATTCCCTAATGCGGATCTTCATGTTGATACATTTCGCATTATGTGGATCTTTAAAAAGATCCGTATTGCCCATCTCTAGTGCACGTCGTGAATATTCAGGGGACTTCTTAGTTTCTGCCATTTTCATTGTGAAGAACAACAAAATGCCTTCTAAACAGAATTAATGCTGTACGGATCTCAAATATCTTAAATTAAACTGCATTACTAATACTTGAATAAATGGAGGAAATGAAAAATGTCTGCAGCCACATTGTCATCATACTGTGCTAAATTGTAGGGATTTTCAGTGTGACATTGTGGTATGTCTGTGTAAATCACCAAAATTGTCAACAAAACAATACGAGGTTTGATCCAAAAGTAACGGGAATTGTAAATTTTCTCAGAAAGTATTTATTTCATCTTCAGTTTTTATCCCATCTGCTTCATAATAATCCCCCTGTTAAATTGCATACTTATGCCAATGTAGTTTCCAGTTTGAGAAACACTCTCTTTAGGTAGCGTCTTGAGCACGGTTTGCGCATTTGCCTTTATTTCATCTATTGTTGAAAAACATTGTCCTTTGAGTGAGTTTAAGTAATAGGAAAAAGTCACAGGGGGGTCATGTCCAGAGGGGGGGGTGGTTACAGCACCACAATGGTGTTGTGTTTCACCCAAAACCCATGTGTTGTCTTTCGTGTTCTTGTCATTTTCTTCTAATTGCTTCACGCAAATTGTGCAAAATTTGTAGGTAGTACTCTTTGTAAACTGTACAACCGGGCAGTAAAAATTCATGATAAACTATTCCATTGTTGTCGAAAAAACGGTTACAAGAACCTTCACAATTGACCAGATCTCGCCTCATCTTCGATGTAAAAATGTGGAAATCTAAAACAGATTTTTGAATTATCACATTAGCGATAGAAAAAAGTTAAAGGGAGGTTAAAATATGCAGTGCCCATAGTAGGAAAAGTGGACATAATTTCATTTTTGTAGGTTTTTCATATTTAAGGAAAAATAATTTTTTTTTCTCCCCATTCAAATTCATAAATCTACAAGGAGTGGATAAGATTTTTTTACATGATAAGCACTCTTAATCGCCACTTATTTACTTGCACACTTATGTGACAATTAAAACTGGTTTTAATAACGCATTTTTTAATGTTGCATCTTTTTTGTATGTTACACAAATTAGCTCTTCCTCTTTATTTTAGAGAGGTGAAATATCAAACTTCCAGTACCTGATGTATTTGAACACTCTAGCTGGAAGATCATATAATGATTTAATGCAGTATCCAGTTTTTCCCTGGATTTTAGCCGACTATGACTCTGAGGAGTTAGATTTAACAGATCCGTCAACTTTCAGGGATTTTACTAGGTCTATGGGAGCACAAAGTCCTGAAAGATTAGAACAATTCAAAAAAAGATTTAAGGTAAATACATCTTAATAAAGTGCAGTGTGTGATAACAATAAACATCTACACATTAAATCTTTTAGGAATGGGATGATCCCCATGGCGAAACTCCTCCATATCATTACGGAACTCATTATTCTAGTGCGATGATAGTGTGTTCGTATTTAGTTCGATTAGAACCTTTTACTCAACATTTCTTACGATTACAGGGAGGTCATTTTGATTTGGCTGATAGAATGTTTCATTCGGTTAAAGAAGCGTGGTTATCTGCTTCAAAACACAATATGGCTGACGTTAAGGAATTAATACCAGAATTTTTTTATTTGCCTGAATTTCTGTGCAATTCGAACAAATTTGATTTGGGTAAGTTTGATGATAAAATCAAATTAGTAACGATGTATAGTAATTATTTTTGATTAGGTATTAAGCAAAGTGGGATTGGTCTTGGAGACGTAGTGCTTCCTCCGTGGGCTAAACAAGACACTAGAGAATTTATAAGGGTGCACCGGATGGCACTGGAATGTGACTATGTTTCACAAAGCCTTCACCATTGGATAGATTTAATATTCGGCTGTAAGCAGCAGGGCCAGGCAGCGGTAGAGGCTGTCAATGTTTTTCATCATCTTTTTTATGAAGGAAATGTGGATATTTATAAGTAAGTCTCTTTACCATTGTTAAATAACAATAAATTATTGGTAAATGTGCACATATATTTTAAACTGCAGTACAGTTTACTATGTAGAACATGTAATTAATTCTAATATAAGTATGCATCACATTTTAATAGAAAAAGTATTGAGAAGCTAGGAATCTTTGACCTGCCCTTGTTGTTCTTGGGCTAGGATCTGTGGGGGCAGATCTGCTATCAGAACATCTGTATGGGTTCACCGTGATGTTGATATCAGTTTTTGATGTTTCTCCTTCTTGCTATTCCTATCCAACAATGGTTTTGGCAGCACTATCTGTGTAATGTTATTCATATGAAGCTTATAAACTCGATGTTCGATTGTTTACATGATTTTCAATACAAGTGTTGTGGTTTGCAGAAAACAGTCAGTGCTTTGAAAATAATTTTGTACTTGTAGGAAATATTTTATTTTATTTAAGGCTCATTTTTACAAAATGAATATACATATTTTTTCCTACTTTAAATTTAATATTCACTATTTGTATTATCGAAATCGCGATTAGGCTAATTGGTAGTTCAGTTACATATGTCATTTGTTATTTTGTCACTTGTTTGCAGGATAAAAGTAGGTTTAAATTTCAACGGATCAAATTAATACTGATAACCAATAAAAATCGATCCTAGCTGTTGCACTAGGTGTTGAGAGTATAATTCAATGCCGATAGGGGCATATAGCCCTCGGAGTAGTTGTTTCTCACAACACTAGCAATTAAAACATTGTCTTCGCCCTCTGTGGATGGCAGTCGTGCAACAAGTACCTGCAATATAGCAGGTCGCTTCCTACTGTAGCCATTTGAATGGCACAGTTGAAAGTCAGCACGACAGATGGAGCCATTTGCGCTCCTCCGTACAATGTATTTCCTTGTCGTTACAATACGACGCAAAACAGCTGGATTGTTCATTGGTTGTCTCACCTATGACACACTGATGAGGACTAATAAGTCCGAAACCGGTCTGTGCCTGGTGGGTTAAACTGACGAACGATCTTAGCTGTTGCACTAGGTGTTGCGAGTATAATTCAATGCCGGTAGGGGCATATAGCCCTCGGAGTAGTTGTTTCTTGGAACACTGGTAATTAAAACATTGTCTTCGCCCTCTGTGGGTGGCAGTCGTGCAACAAGTACCTGCAATATAGCAAGTTGCTTCCTACTGTAACCATTTGAATGGCACAGTTGGGAGTCATCACGACAGATGGAGCCATTTGCGCTCCCGCGTACAACACACCAATAAAAATCAGTTTTAAAAAATCTTCCTTACCATAAATTATAACAACTTTGACAGGTTGTTGACTTAAACGTATTATGTAGTAACTAACTGTTGAAAATGATAATTTTTATACTGTTATTGAAAAGCTAATTTAAAGAACTTTTCAACAAATCTACATATTGGATCTTCAAAACTTTTTTAGAAGTTTGTCTTGGAAATTACTTTTCTTTAACAAATAGACTTACTACAGCTGAATTAGAAAATAAATCAATTTCAGTTGCTAAGTTTTTTAATAATTACCTTTGGTATTTACATAGTATTCGAATATACAGGGTGTCCCATAAGCACATGATCAAATAGGTACTGCGACATTCTTTGGCTCAAAAGAAGATGATCTGACCTAATTCCGATTAAGAAAAAATGTCTAGCTCCTCTGCTATTGATTAAAAAACTATGAATGCTACAAGATTTTACCAAGAGCACGAAAAGTTCGAAAAAGGACTAATGAATCAATAAAAAAAAAATGAATTGATTCCAGCTACCAAATGAAAAGTTCTGGTAATTCTTGTACCAAGACACTTAAAAATTTACTACTTACCCAAGGTGGATGGACACAGTTGCTTCACCAAAACATGAGCTTTACTCAGGAGCAAGTTTCATTAAAATCCATAGTAACATTCTCCAGATATTACAAAAAACATTATTTTTCAAGAACTTTGACAGTCAATAGCAGAGGAGCCAGACATTTTTTCTTGATGGAAATTAGGTCAGATCGTCTTCTTTTGAGCCAAGGAATGTCGCAGTACCTTTTTGACCATGTGCTTATGGGACACCCTGTATATTTATTAAAATGCTCGATATCCATTTTCCATTTAAAAGATCATCGATGGCGTCATAATTTCAACAGGCATCTGTATACATAAAAGCATTGTAAGAGAAGAATAATGAATAATTAAACATGACATATATGAGCATGTAGAAAAAAAATTACCCGACTTTTTATTGAATTAATGCGTAACTTTACAGATATACTGTATATCGTATGAATTTTTATATTTCTGTTTTTAGTATTGATGATCCTTTGAAGAAAAATGCTACTATTGGTTTTATAAATAATTTTGGACAAATACCAAAGCAACTTTTCAAGAAACCTCATCCTTGTAAAAAAATGGGCGTAGGAAGTAACAGAACGTCTGTTATCGATACTGGATCCATTGTCCAAGCTTTCAGTTTACCACAACCTGAAAAATTATTCTTCCATCACCTTGACAATTTAAGGCCTTCATTGCAACCAATTAAAGGTATGTAGCCAAAACTTTAGTTTAGACCTATAAAAATCGTCAATTTTCAGAAGTCAAAAGTCCTGTTGGACAAATTCTTCACGTAGACAAAACACTTCTGGCAGTAGAACAAAATAAGGTGTTAATGCCGCCAACTTTCAATAAATATGTCGCATGGGGCTTTGCTGACCATTCCCTTAGGATAGGAAACTATGACAGTGACAAAGCAGTATTCGTTTCTGAAAGTGTTATTCAAAATAACAGTGAAATACTGACATGTGTATGCCCATCTCCAAAACTCATAGTGACTGCAGGAACAAGTTCAGTAAGTATTAATACTAATTTCGTTTTTGCAGACAAATTGTAATTATTTTGTCACAATATTGTTAAGTAGTGAAAGTTGTCATTCTTACACATTTACATCAAAATCTTATCTAACATGTTCGTACTTGCTAACCAAGTCATTGAACTAAACTAACTAAACCAAACACATGAAGAATGGTTCCATGATCTTTCTAAATCTATCAGTTGTTGACTCTAACAGTACTTTACAGGCTCAATATTGGGAGTTGAGAGTAAAAAAAAAATATAATTAATTATTAACTGCCCAGAAATTCTGCAGCTTTATACGTATCTGTTTTTTTTATAATTTTAGGTTGTCACTGTGTGGGAATATGAAGCAAGGAAAAAATCCTTAAGCATAAAACACAGCCTCTATGCTCACACAGACGCTGTTACTTGCCTCGCTGCGAGTCCAGCCTACAATGTTATAGTCTCGGGTTCAAGGGATTGTACCGCAATTATATGGGATCTATCTCGCGGGGTGTTTGTAAGACAGCTACGTGGTCACGCCGGTCCAATAGCAGCCGTGGCAGTAAATGATTTAACAGGGGATATTGCAACTTGTGCAGCTACTTGGCTGCACGTATGGAGTATAAATGGTGATGAGTTAGCCAACGTGAACACTTGCGTTGGAAGAGCCGATCGTATGCAACAGATTTTATGTGTTGCATTTTCACAAACCCACGAGTGGGATCATCTTAATGTGATTATGACTGGTTCAACAGATGGAGTTACAAGAGTAAGTAAGAAAAAATTGTTTTAGATATTCAGTGCGCATACATACTTTGCCATTTAATATTGCCACTAATGTTCCCTTAGAAAATAACATTAGTCATCTTGGAAAATACATATACAGTAGAACCCCTCATATCCGACCTCGGAATATATCCGATTCCTCAGGATATCTGTTACCCCTCCCACCTTTCTTGAAGCAACGATTCTGTGAACCATGACGACAGGCGCGGCTAAAGAAAGATTAAGTACATTAAAACAAAAAAATATAACTGATTTTTTTAAATGAGTTTACATATGTATGTACATAGGTACCTTTGTGTATGTACTTACATTCATACTTATACACGGCTGGCAATGGTACATGGTCCATCTGCCTTTACATGAGAGTGACAAAGTAAAGTAAAGAAATCCGTGCGATAGACGAGGATGCCTATAGCAAAGACTTTTCATAATCTGAATAGTCACTCCGACTTCTAACCAAGCGCATTCCGAAACGGGCGGTGACAATTCAGATTATGAAACGTCCTCAATATAGCCAGCTTTGTCTATCGTAGGAATTTATATGACTTACTTTGTCACTCTCACGTAAAGACAGATGGACTATGTGGATTTTCCATCCGTGTATACAGTGCTATTTTCTTAAAACTTTATATAGGCCAACTTTTTTATTTGAAGTGATGGACTAGTACTTCCAGATGCAAAGTTGTAGGGAATAACTCGATTAAGAAAAATTTACAAATAATTCTTTCCAGTGTTGCCAGATTTCTGCAGTAGTACTAAAACGATATTTTTTTAAATGGCAACACCCTATTTCTTTAACATAATTTGACAAACCTTCAAATTCTATATATAGAAAATGTTATGTCACATTTCTTTATTGGAGTAACCATTTTAGAACAATCGGCAAAAACAACAAAATAATCTGAAGTCGGCAGGAACTAAAAGAAGGTAATAGAGCTGTAGGTCTTGGAAATTAAACAAAAACTGTGGTGTTTTAAAGGAGCCATCATTATTGCACTATCATTGTGTTATTTGACAAAAAAAAGTAACGTTTTAATTCAGTTGCTAGGATGAATCAGTTATTTAATCCACAAGAGAAAGTTGAATGAATTTTTTTTCATGTTGGTGGCTTAAGTTTACACAACGTGTGCGCTGAATTCCACGCAAGACATCCCAATAAGCCTCTTCCAAATCCGGAGTTTTTAAAATATAACTTAATAAAACTAAAAACAACTAGTGTATGCTCAAAGATCCGCAAAAGGCTCAAATCATCTTGATAATAATAATAATGATGGCTTCTTTCAAACAACACAATTTTTGTTTTATTTCCAAGACCCACTCTTACTATGTTAGCTTCTTTCAGTTCTTGCCGACTTCAGATTATTTTTGTTGTTTCTGCTGATTGTTCTAAAATGGCTACTGCAATAAAAAAATGTGATATAACATTTTCTATTTAGAAATTGTAGGTTTGTGAAATTATTTAAAAAAAATATGTTGCCATTTAAAAAAATATCGTTTTTGTAGCTACTACAGAAATCTGGCAACACCAGAAAGAATATTTGTAAATTTTTCTTAGTCAAGTTATTTACTAAAACTTTTCATTTGGAAGTATTAGTCTATGACTTCAAATAAAAAAGTTGACCTGTCAGGTTTTAAAAAAAATAGCACTGTATATGTACCAGAATATTTCTGTTCACCCATCCATTTTTTTTCAATAAACACGTACATTTACATATGTATGTACATAAATACTCGTTTATCTGCGTTTTTATTCATTTTTTGTTGTTCCACGGATTATCCAATCTTTTTTGTACTGATCACACTCCGGTCCCGTGGGTGACGGATATGAGGGGTTCTACTGTATTTCAATATTTAAAAAATTATATTTATTATTTCAAGATAGTTGAATCTGATAGTGATAGTTTAAAATGTGTTGATCATAAATTAAATCAGCAACTTAAAAAACCTTAAACTAAACTGGGTAAAAAGAGATCTATATTAGAAAGTTAAAATTTTATTTGACACAACTAAACCATATTCATACTATTCTCTTAATAAAATACTTTTAATAAATATGAATAATGCATAATTAGAAACAAAATATTGCCGCATGTATTTAAATTTTACTACTACAAAAAATTATGTTTAAGAAATTAAATCTGTCTTCATTGTCAACAGTTCTAAACATATAACTTTTTCTTTGTTAATTTTCCGGTGTTAGGTGATTTTTTTCCACTAGCAGCAGCCATACATGTAGGTAGTTAATTAAAGTGACAAAAATAACGAACAAATTTACCATAAGCAACTCGTAGGAGTTGTGCTTTCAAGCGCCGATGATAATAAAAAAAGTTACTTAATTTGACATAAAAATATTTCTATATTTTCATATACTTACAGATAAAATTGTAAAAAGCAAGTTTTTAACCTAGGAATGAAAAATTAGATGCATCACATAGATTTTGATATTTTAAACAAAACATTTATTTATTTTTATTGAAAATTTTATTATTTATATGACTAACCCAAGTTTCAAGCATGTGACTAGTTCTCATTTAATATGTTTTAACTTGTAAGGGAACACCAGTGAAAATGTTAAGTAGCACACACTGGGGTCCTTACAAATGTGAAAGGTTCGACATATTTTCCTTTCATCGGTAACCACTGATTTTAAATTGTAGATGTGGTCCATAGACTATGTACAAGTGCCAGACGAGGACAGTACAAATACCTCAATCCAAAAGTCTCCAATAGAATCTAAGTCTCCAAAATCTCCAAAATCCTCAAACGAATCAACTGTTAAAGCAGCACCTATTCATCATCGTCTTGTTAAACAAATTAACGTTTCTAGTGACAGTTCAGGGTTGTGTCTTATGAAGTCTGGTTCTGAAAGTAGCCTTTCTGAAGATAATACAAGGCGGTCTTCAGTAGACAGACAAAGGAGTGACGAAAGTAGTAGTAAAGAATGGAGAAGTGAACAGCAAGATGAAAAAGAGACTTGCAGTGATACTGAAGAAACAGCACCTCCTGTTGCTCCAGTGAGAAGAAGAAGGTCCAGGATTCATGTTAGTTTTAGAAAAAGTGAAGGTTTGTATTAAATATATTATAACTGTTTAAAATTGTTATAAAATACAGAGTATTACAAAAAAATAGGTCAAGCTGTTAACCATAGATTCTTTGGATGACAATAATATAGGACTTTCCTCATGCGGTTTTTCACTTTGGTGCCTTTTCAAAACAGTATCAAAGTTATTGAATTTTGTCTCGAACCAACATATTTTTATGTAATTTTGATTAAGAAAATCGAAGCATGAACAGTGAAAGGGAAAGAGAAAGGATATGATGTAATAGAAACTTTTTGTTTACGATGTGCTTAAGACAGCATTCTTCAAAAAAGAATTGGTGTATTTTAAAATATTAATAGTTTTTTTGTAACACCTCTATATGAATATTTTAGGAGGAAATAGCGCAGACAGTGTAAGTTTAGACGTTGATGATGGATCAGGTATGAGAACGAGTAAATCGGACACCAGCCTAACAGATTCATTTGTTATGGTCTCGGAGGCAAAGAAAAGGACTACCAATCCAATGAATTCTCTTAGACCTGGTATTAATACTACGAAATGTTTCTATACAAAGATATTTTCAATATTTGTTTTCAGGTTTTAAATGGCAAAGACAGCTTGTATTTAGAAGTAAATTAACGATGCATACAGCCTATGACCGTAAAGACAATGCCGAACCTGCTTCAGTAACAGCTTTAGCCGTGTCCAAGTAAGTGTAATATCTTGTTTACAGGGTGTATTTAAGGTGATACGAGTTGCTTATAAATGTTTCAAAATTGATGAAAACTGACCCTTCGTATTTTGTAATCTTCATGTTACTGACAATGATTTAGGATATTTAGGTAGGTATGTTTTATTGATTTAACAATTAAATATGGTAGAACATAGAGAAACCATTACTTGGTTTAAAACACGTAGACATTTTTCATGTCTTGTAAATCCATAAATATTTATTTTATGGAAAGCTAAATAATAAAATTCAACAGTTTTTGCAGAAAAGGCATAGAAATAATACAGTTTTAAAACACAAATTACCTGACACGTTTACATAATTCGCTGAATCACGAATGAAATTTTGAAGTTTCTCAATAATTGAGAAAATTTTAATAGCATGACTCTGAAAATTGGTAGTATTGGGTTTTGATGTGAGAATTACGAATTTGAAGCTTATTTTGACATTGCTCCAGAGGGCGCTAGTTTCGCCGTATTATTTAGGTAAATCAAAATATTTTTTTATCTGTTGAGCTATGCTTAAAAAAGTTAAAAATCTAAAAGAACGTTTAATTTTACATAAAAAATGTACTATTGTTTAGGTCGACTAATTTTATCGGTTTCTGTTTGCATTTGCAAGATGAAAATAAGAATAACAATTATTGACAATAGTAAGAATAACGAACCTTAAAGCAAATGCTGGAAGTGTCCACCACCTACCTCAATACATTTTACTATATACTCTCTTAAATGTCTGAATATTAAAAAAAATTCCCTATTATTTTTAAATGTATGCTACTTGTATTTTCTGCCCCAACTCCTCAACAGAATTAATTTCTTCACAATACATCCTTCAAGTTTGACCGTGCTGAGAAGTCCAGAGGGTTTAAGTCTAGACTTCTCGATGGCCAAATAAATTCACTTCCACGGCCAATCCACCGATGAGGAAAATGTTCATTTAAATACTGGCGTACTGGCAAGGCAAAATGTGGTGGCACACCGTTGTGCATAAACCACATACTCTTAAAGCGAGTGGTACATCATCTAGAAGCTCGTTTAAATTATGTTGAAGAAAGTTTAAATAATGAGGTCCAGTTAGATTGGGTGGTAATTCAAAAGGTCCTATGAAAAAACCAGAAATTAAACCACACCAAATATTCACCTTAAACTCATGCTGAAAATGTCTTCCTTTTACAGCAAGCGGATTTTCAGAATCCCACAAATGATTGTTCTTCTAATTGAAAACTCCCCGTCTAGTAAATGTCGCCTCATCGGTAAATTTTGCATATTTTTATATAAACTGAGTAAATCTTGTAAATCTTAAGGCAATAACTGCTGAACCGGAGTATAATATGGATGGATCATTTCTTTTTTTTAAATTTTACAAATGGATCATTGGCTTACCCCCTTTGCCGCACTTAACCGACGAGTACTCATACCGGAATTTTCCGAAACACAAATTAAAATGTCCACCTTTTTGGTCGAAAAAATCCAGATTCACCTAAGCGGTTGGAAAGATTTTTGAATAGTTTTATAATTAGGTTGCAATCTATTTGGGTACAATTGTACATATCATCGGGTCGCCGTAAGTCCATTAAAATTAGCCTGAGCAAAAACACAAATCATATCACGCATCTCACTGTTGGAAAAATTATTGTCATGGCACTTTTTGATCACTAGCTAATAATTTTGCACGAATAATAAGGGCCAAATTCAGAGATTTCCCTAAATCTATACTAACCTTTCACTCATCTCAAACTTATGCTTCACTCAACTTAGGGTGCCCTAATGTCATTCTCAATTCTGGTATTCAGAAATGTGTATAAATGAGTCACTAACTTGAGTGTGCATCAAACCACAAATTACTAGACAAGGAAACAGTTGGCTACTCAAATATTACCAAAAATATGTCATCAGTAGAAACCTAATGTCACAATATTTCTTTATTTTGAATTTGAATAACTGACGTTGAAAATATATACATAATAAGTTACATTTAAATAATAAATAATGAAAATCAAAAGGTCTAATTAATTATCCAGGTAAAAACGATCCTCATAATATTCCAAGTAATAATTAGTTAGTAGTTAGTAATATTTAGTTCATTATCTTACTATATACTTCATATAGATTAGAATGAGTGACAAGCAATCATTTATGAGGTATGCAACAGAAATAATTTTTAAAAAATAATTATAATTTATATAGCATTCACATATAGAATATCCTTTATTGAATACCTGGACTTAATTATTTGTAAAATATAAGTACTGCTAGAATATTATGAAACCACAAAATTAATAAATTAGGAACATATAAGCACACGTCAGACACCACTAATATGTCACTAACCTAGCACTCATTTGTGAGGTCGGTTTGAGTACGATTTAAGTGACTTATTGAATTAGAATTGTTTATGAATACGATTAGGGTGAGTTTAGTACGAGATAAGTGTGAGCAGAACTTTAGTGAGATCTATGAATTTGGGCCTAAATCACAGGCACGCGAAATACACTAATATTTATTGACATGAAAATTTGACACAAGCCTACTTAGAAAAGAAATAGCAATATCACCGCCTGAAAGAAAACCACCACATAATGCATTGCAACTGTTAAATGCAAATACATAACTCGGAAACCTAAACAGTACATTTTTTATGCAGAATTGAATGTTGACAGAAATATGTTTTGATTTACCTAAATAATACAGAACTAGCACCTTCTAGGAGCAACGTCAAATAAGCTTCAAATTTGTAAGGCTCACACCAAGAAACCCAACACTACCAATTTACCTTGCAACGCCAGCGCCACTTTTGATTTTCTTTTCGTCTCCGGAATGTCTGCAAAACATTTTCCTTTCAGCTTCCTTTTCATCCAGGTGAACAAAAAAGATCACAGGGTGCCAGATGAAGTGTGTAGGGTGGGTGAAGAAGGGGGCCATGCGGTTTATCGCCAAGAAATCATGCACAGAGACAGCTGTGTGAGTTGGAGCTTTTTTGGGCAAGGGGAATCCGTGGTCTTCCACTGCGAGGATTGTTGCTTTGTCTCTGGGTCGTACTCTTAACACCGCGATTCATCCCCGGTGATGATTTTGTTGAAAAAGTTCTCGTCCACTTCCAGGTGGCCCAAGTCACTGCAAGCGGGGCACGAATTTCGCCACGATTCGTCTCATTTGCAAATCTATGGCTAAAATGTGTTGCAACGAGCTCCACGAAAGACCAGATAGTTCAGCAATTACATCAATAAAATGCCTTCTATTCTTGTACATAAACGCTCAAAATTTTTCCACGTTTTCAACAGTTCTAGACGTAGAATGCCAACCCGGGTGTTGAATGTCTTCGATTGATCTCACCGCATTTGAATCGCGAACACCACTCATACACTTGAGTTCTTTTCAAGGCATGTTATTTATAAGGTGTAGACAACGTATCAACCGTGTCCGATGCACTTTTACCGAGCAGAAAACAAAATTTCAATGTTCTCAAATACCAACCATTTTAAAAAATTTAAGAAGTCAAAATAGTCATTGCACAAAAACTGTCTCGGGGGCTACAACTGTCTCAAGCGACGCCATTTGGCAGGCTAACTCGGGAGGGGCTACATAACACCCATCTAACGGGAAAGTCTGAACTACAAGATGGGTGTGCGCAGCTAATTTTGTCCGGTTAAATTAGTATTCATTAGTCGTTCATGCAAAACCATGCTATTTAGATTTCTGAAGTATTACTAAAACCAAGTTAATTTTTTTGCTTCAACACCTTCATTTATTTTTATCATAGAATGTAATAGGGACATTTGGCCCATTCCTTATCAGGCTTTTGATTTCACAAAAAAAATTACAACTATCGAGTATTTTTAGGGACCACCGATCCGTATATGTCGGGGATACAAGGGGCAGGGTCTTTTCATGGAGTGTCTGTGATGTTCCTGGGCGGGCGGCTGATCATTGGCTGAAGGATGAAGGGGCAGACTACTGTGCGGCATGTAGCATTAGGTTCACTATATATGAACGAAAACATCATTGTAGAAACTGTGGTCAAGTTTTTTGTTCCAAATGTAGTAAATTTGAAAGTGAAATATCCCGACTACGTATTCTAAAACCCGTTAGAGTGTGCCAGAATTGTTACGCCTCATTAAAATCAGAACGTTAAAGATGAATTGCTGCATTCTATTTATTAACCGTACCACAGTATGTATTAGAAAATGTTTACAAAACGTGTATAGATACCACTGTAAATTGATAAATAGGTTTAAAAAAAATTATATATAAAAGTTTATACATTGTTGTTATTGTTTTACACTTTAAAGGTATCGTTAATTGTATTTTATTATATTTTATTAATTTCATATTTATTGTAACTTTTTATTTATTGTTATATGTTTTTAACCATACCTAATTTTGTATTTACTTTTGTGATATTGTAATTTGTAAGTTTATTTATAAAAAAATTTTAACTGATAATAATTTGCACTAGTTCAGATAAAAACTGTTAATGCATAAAATACCAATTCTTTAATAAACATTTCTGTTAAATAAAATAATATTCTGAAACGGTCGAAGTCGATATAAGATAGAATGAGACATTTTGATGTTATCTTTTGTTATTACTTCAATCATTACCACTTACATACAGTGCCATGCTTCGATTACAAGGCTAAACAAGTACATAACAAGAAATAAACTTATTTTTACAATTGTTACATGAAGAAGTAACCAACATCTTGGATTTTAACTCATTGTTTTCATCACCGAAGTTACTTGAGCAGTTACCGCAAATTTTAAAATGCTAAACTTTTTTTTTTGCGGCCAATATCAACTTCAATTAAAATATTGTCCTGCTAAAAAACACTAAATTTATTTTAACTAGTGCAAACGGCCAGTGCGATCGTTTAATTGATCATTTCTCGATATTTTTGCAGATTTGTAGGCTGCTTAGATTTTATTTTAAAAAAAAAATTAATATATATCCAATTTTTGATATTGTTAACTTTTAAATTGTTATTAATTTATTTATTTATTGTGATACTGATCATATCTTAATGAATATTTGTGTAATTATTGAAAATAAAAACCTTTTTTTTTGTGGAAGAATTTTTATAAGCTTAGCTAAAAGTATTAATTTGTCACAGAGCAATATATCTTTAGAACAATAATATTTGTTGCCTGTAAAATATTGTGTTTATATACAAAGCTAGACTGCTTCTATGCAAAGATGAGAAAAAACTAACTCCATTATATGATATTATTTTTGTATCCAATGAGGACCGAATTTGTTAGAAATTAGATGAGAAACAAAGATGTGCACAGGCATCTGTAGACAATATACATGTGCATTATTGTGCATTCCAAAGTATATTTCCGTATATTTGATAAATGTATGTGATATTGTAGATTCTATAGTTTATAGCAGGTGTAAATATGCCATGTCCTGATTATGAATAAAAATTTCATCCTGCTTTTATCTTTTACTTAACTAGATATTTTACAAAAATATTTAATATTTACAAAAGAAAATACAGGCCTACAACATAACCCAAATTTGAAACAAGTTTTTTCAGTTTCAATAATAATATTCGATTTTTTAATTCACAACCGTATGAACACACACTACCAGTATCTTAATAAACATATATTACGATTGGAATTTAAAGAAATTTCATGAAACGGAAAAATTCCCTATTTCCAAATATACAAAATTTCCTGAAAATTCCTTTCCTGATTGGTAAGTTGTGAAAAAATTGAACCTCGAATTACAAAGATATAGACATAGCAAGGATTTTTAAGTGGAACACCCTATATATTTTTGTGCATTTAGAATGCTTTATTACAATAATTATGGTGATATTTAATGGGTGTACATCTAATAGTAAGATACATATGACATTAAGTTTAATGGTTTAGAAAGACATTACTATTTCTTAGTCAATCTAACAGAGGATCAATTGTTTTTGTAATTTAAGCAATAGAAAATGTAAAAAGTTCCATTTTTTTGTACAAAATATAAGTTTCTGACGAACTATGGTTTTGTCAAAAAAAAAAAAAAGATTTTTAGAGCTCTAAATTCACAAGTATAATCTGCATTTTTCTTTGTTTACTTGATTAAACCCAGATAGTGATGCAGGAGGGGTTTAATCTTAAGTAAAAACCATTGGTAGGTACAGTCGGCGCCACCCAAATGTGAACTGCAATATTGTACCGTGTAATTTAAACTTCAAATCATAGTCGTAAAATTCAATAGTTGTCAAATATACATATATGTCACTTAGAGCAAACGTAATTAAATGTAAACAAGTAACGTGAAATATGCCGGAGCATTTAAATGAAGCGCATAGAGCAAGGGCTATAGCTAAATTAGAAGATAATTGGTCTTTGAGTGAAGTGGCTGCTGACTTAAATGTCAGTAAAAATTGTATATTTTATATTAAACAACGCTGGCGAGAACAATAATTACAAAGATCTATCAGGCAAAATTTCGGGAAGGTTTCCAGTGACGCGGAAGACAATGCCTTGGTCAAATTTATCCATAAGAATAACCTCTCTGTGTTACGCCACTAAAAAAAGTCTGATTTACTACGATAATGATAAATGATGATATGATAAAATGCATTCACATTTGGGTGGCGTCAACTGTACCTAACATGATTTTTATCACAATAAAACCCCATATGCATTTATCACAATAAAACTTGTTAGTTAGATGTGTTAGTATAATGACATGATTTAGTCAAAAATAAATTTTAAACATGACGTTTAAATAAAATAAGGGGTGGCACTTGTTTTTAATTGGTTAAAATAGCAGGAATTATAACAGTACTTTTTGAGAACTTAAACTTTTATTTAATATCTCTGAAACTTGTATAAACATATTAAATTTTATAGATTTATGTTATCTTAACAAAATGGGTAATCGCCCTAAAATTTTAAGAAATTGCCCTAAAATCAATTTGCACATAAACAAATAACTGATGTGGTAGGAGTAAAAATTTTTGTAACTTTTTTTATGAGTAGTTTCTTCCACAGTTTTATCTAAAAATTTTATGGTTTATAATAGATGTTCTATTAGACTTTGATAAAACATAGCCTTCGAGTAAAATCAATTTTAAAAATTATTGATCTGCTTGAAAATTACAATGGAATTTGTTGGTTTCTGTTTTTCCAAAGAGATATTGAATAAAAACCCTGAAGAACATACTTTCAAGATGTATTTCACCTATAGAAAACATATTTGAGTGACCTTTTTTTATGTAGAACTAATGATGAAGATTGGCAAGTTATAGGACTCCCTGTATATTTCCATTTGCTCAGAAATATAAACATAAACAAGGTTATATTTAACGATATGGACAGGAAAACTGGGATATACGAAAATATTGAAAATTTAAGAATTATGTATTTTCCTTTGCACTTAAAAATAATATGAAATATTCTGTAACAAAATTGGAATTAACCGTCTCCATGAGGTATCTATAATATAAACTACAACTACAGTACAGTTGACAAATCTATTTTTTTGTTCTCCAGTGAGTCTTTTCATATAATATTGAATCTATTTTGACAAATTTATATTTTTTAACATCAATTTTTCTATATAAATTAACATTTGCCGTACTGCTTCAGTAGATGAAAGTAGTTTTTCTGCACAAGTTTCTACATTTAATGAAGAAGATATTCTGAAGGTTGCTGCATTACCTTTTAAAGCTCTCATAGCATCTTCATCGGTTGTGTCATCTCCGGCAAATACTACTTTAACATTTTTAGACCAATTTTCTCCGTATTCATTATTTAATATTAATAATGCAACTTTTCCTTTATTCCAGTCTACCTTCGGTCTTGCTTCAAGTGCACAGTGTGCTTTCCCAACTTTAAAATTTGCATCTTCAATAATTTTTTGTGCAGTTTTTTCTATTTCATTCCTTAAATTTTCTGGCGTTGCTCTAAAATGAAATGTTAAGGAGGCTCCTTTATTTTCAATCCAAGCTCCATCTCTAACAACACTGTTTTCTAGTTTCTGGATAAGTTCATTAACTTGTCGATTAAATTCTGTTGGTAACTGATGAACGTATCTTGTTCCATTGGGATACAAAACCTCTAATCCATGATTACCTGCATATGTAATATTATCTATTCCTACCATCTCTTTTACATTATTTACATTTCTCCCAGATATAATTGCTACAAATATTCCAGACATTAAAGATAAGCTGTGTAAAACACTTTTAGTTTGTGGCGGTATTGTAGCTAAATCAGGATGAGCCACAATTGGTGTTAAGGTTCCATCGTAATCCAACAAAAGAGCTAATTTAGATGAATCTTCAATGTAGGTTGTTAAATATTCCTCATAATTGTCACACATTCTCTTGAAATATATATATTATGTATATATAAATAATACCTCTACACCTCTACTATCAAATGTAAAACACAAATAAAATTCCTGCTTCTTACCAATTAGCTCGTAAGGACAAAAGTCGCTAAACCTCTTTAACATAGATAACTCTAAAAGGTTATCAAAGTTATCAATATAAATTTTTAATTAATAAATAAAAACAACTATGAGCTTTATTATTACAGCAGTAACATAGAGCAGTAATTGAAGTATAATGAACGCGTTTTTCATTTTTTTCATTTGAAGAATTAGAATATATTTTACAAAAGCAGAATTTTACAAAGAACGATGAGAATGAATTCATAAACATAAATCATAATTCATAAATTGAATTGAAATATAAAAAATAATAAAATAAAGAACCACAGAATACAGAACTAAATAGAAAATAATCGATTCTGTGGATGTGTGGAGCCCTTAAGGCCTTTCGATTTGGCAAAAATAGTAGCTATCAGCAGCTAATAGCAACTTAAAACTTAGAGTTACTCTGAACTGATATTAGTTGCTAATAGGTACTATTTTTTCCAAAGCGAAAGCCCCCCATAAGGGATATGTGCTATGGATCGAGTAAATCTGGCATCAAGAAGTATGGTTATGTTATCCGAGAACTAATTGTAGACATTTTTTTAATATTTTAATAATAATAATAATAATAATAGTAACAGTTATTATGACATTAAATTTTAATCAGAGTCGATTTATAAGTTACAAACAAGTGAGAACTTGGTATGCCAACCTTGTTAAACCGAGAAAAAATGAAGCTCCATATAGGCACATAATTCAAATTGGCGATCCTACATTAAGAGCAACATCCGAAAAAGTACCAACACATTTGATAACTTCTCCAGAAATAAAATCTGTTATTGACCAAATGAAATTAGTATTCAATAAGTACAAATGTGTTGGACTATCCGCTGCACAAATAGGAATCCCGATACAAATATTCTTAATGGAATTTAACAAAAACCACGCCAAATTGTTCAACAAACAGGAGCAGAAGAATATGGAGATGTTACATTACCCGCTAAAAGTAAGAGTTATCATTTATATTAGGGCTGGGACATTTTTAAGTTTAGTATTCAAATAGTTACTTCAATATTTATTCAAATTATTACAATATTCAAATTATTTGAAATATTCGAAATTTTACATTATTTGAATAATAAAAATAATGCTCAAAATTAGGTGGTATGTAGTCAAATATTTGAATAATCCAGGAAATTCAAATATTACACTATTATAAAATGTAAAAAGGTCAAATGTATTTTAAGAGATCTGAAATTGGTAGGTATTTTCAAACAATTAATGTCTACATATACAGGGTGATCCGAAATTATGTGCAAAAATTTGAGGGTTGATTATTTAAACAATTTTAAAAGTCATTGATATAAATTTTTTTGATTTAAGCGCTTCTGGATTAGTTACGTTACGACTCCTTAAAAGGGCTGCAAAATATAGTTTTATTCAATTTTTTCCAAACTGTTTGAAATTAAGAACTGAAATTTGCCACGATATTTAGACTGCTGAGGCTTCTTCTAAACGAATATTTTTTATTCTCTTCTTATTGTAGGATGTTGAAATGAGAAGCTACTAGATATTGATGTGATATTTGAAAAAAGACTATGTGCGCTTATGGAGTCCTGAACTTCATTTTTTTTACTCAAAACCTCTTATCATTTATCAAAAAACTGAGAGGCAAAATGTTTCTAAATTTAACAAGCATTAACAAGGTCCAACAAAAAATGTGGAGGTGAAATTATTCGAATTTTCGAATAGTTACATTTACACTTATTCGAATTTATAGATAGTACCCAATAATTCGAATGTTCGAATTATTCGAATATGATTCCCATCCCAGCACTAATTTATATTTAGAGTGAAGTTTGGTTATAACAACATCCATTAAACAGAACAGAACAGGCAGAATGAAAATAATAATACTACTATTTAATAAAAATCTTGGTCAATAAAAAATATGGCAAAAAGACAAGATTTTTTCAGGTAATCTTAGTGACCTCTGCATTCTAGGTAAGAAATAATATTCATCTTTGGCTACACCAAAAACCGTTCTCTCAAAGTCTCACTGAAATATCATAAAAAAGACACCTTATCCTGATAAAATTAAATAAACATATTTTATCTAGGATCATGTCAAAAGAAATTTTTTTTATAATATAATTTGCAGTGTAAAAAAAAATTAAGTACGATTCATTCAATTTTGGGTACTAAGTATACAGGTTCGGAAAGTCCCCATGGTACATCGGCCGTTACGTGACAGTGATAAAGTAAGTCATAGAAATCCGTGTGATAGACAAGGATGATTCAAATAAAGACGTTTCATAATCTGAATAGTCAGTCCCACTTCTAACCCGAAACGTGCGGTGACTATTCAGATTATGAAACGTCTTCACTATAGCCATCCTTGTATATCACACGGATTTCTTTACTTTGTCGCTCTCATGTAAAGGCAGATGGACCATGTGGATTTTCCAGCCTTGTATATACTTTTATAGATTAAAGGAATATTGTGGAAAATTATCAGAATTTTAGATACATTTAGGTAATTAAAAATAATAAACTCTTCAGTTTTAGGTAGTTATAAATCCAGAAATAAAAATATTAGATTATACCAAAATCATATTTCCAGAGGCTTGTGAAAGTATTAAAGGATTTTATGCTGATGTTGCTCGATACCGATCTCTAAATCTAAAAGGTAAATTTAAAACGCCGCTCGCTCAACCTATTGTCTTCTTAAGATAACTTGGAGTCAGCACAGTAACGGAATCTGTTGGTTCACAGAACTTTTACACTTGGTCCTATTTTTATTTTTCTGTAAATGTACTTCCATCAAATGTATATGCATTTTTGTGTTAGTTTGATAATAAAAGAAAAAAGTAGATTTAGTGTAATATATTTATTGCAACTAAAATTATTTGGAAAAAAATATATGTGTACTTCTAATTTCATAAATTGTAGATAATAACAATTTCAGGATTTGATGAAAATGGAAATAATTTCTCAGAAAACTTTAATGGTTGGCTAGCACGAATTATTCAGCACGAAATTGATCACCTTAATGGAATCACATATACAGATGTTATGGATAGAAAAACTTTTACTTGTAGCTGCTGGAATGTAATAAATGAACGTGGGGGAAGAGTAGAATTACCTTACGGTCCACAATAAAGTAATTAATTAATGACTACTTAAGTGTAAAGTTTTTGAAATAAAATAGATATTGTAATAATAAATCAAAGTTTTAGTTTTCGTGATATTCATGTTCCATATTTTAGTTTAAGTCCATGTTGCAAATAAAAGGTCTGAAATAGAAAAAAATATATACTGTTATGTCTTAATTTTAATGGTTACAGCACGTTGCAATATTCGACTAGCAAAAATAAGAAAAAAATTAAACTCGTAGACCTACTGTTATAACCTGTTTTAATGTACTTATTAAAAACAAAAACAATATTTTGAGTCGAGCCCTCGTGTTTCAATTTTTCTAATGCATAATGGGTGCTAGGAATACATCTAATAAAGACGACGGAATGACAAATGATATATCAACGGTCTTTATGATGAAGCTCTATAATTAAAATTTAAATCTAAATTTTTGGCCCGCGACCGCGAAATTTAAATTAAGGTACCCACAAAATTCGTGTGGAATTAAATAATTTGCAGTAGAAAATAGGGAGATTTTAAGCCACCTAAAAT